CACCACTTCTTTAGACTTCCGGGGCACTTGGAGCCCCCCCTTCCCCGCACGCAGGGCGTCGCAGGCGTCGCGGCGCAGCAGGACCCACAGGACCCCGCTCGGCAAATTGGCCCGTCTTCCCTCCGCCAGGCCGACGCAGCGACTTGCAGTGAAGGAAGGTGGAAGTGTTTCCGGCGTGCAGCAAAGACAGGGGATTTGCTTGGCGCGCCAATGTTTCCAAACTGGAGTGAGACGCGGGCAGACGGGTGCACCCTCACCCTCAGTCCCTAAAGCTCCCCTCCTGCAGACTGATTCCGAGAGTCGCTTTCGTCGCTCTGCCTCTCTCGCACCTATAGGGGGCGCCTCGTGAGTGCGAGAGAGACAGAGCGACGAAAAGGACTCTCGTAATCAGTCTGCTGGGAGAGGAAGCGCGGAAGTGGAGCGGGCACGCGCCCCTGCCTGCAGCCCTGCAGCTGCTGCACACCTGGAGGGCGCTCGGCGGCCCCTCGCCCCGCCCCGCCCCGCCCCGCCCCGCCCCGCCCCGCCCCGCCTCGCGAGACGTCGCGGCACTGAGCAAGGTCGTTCCCTCTGCCGCGTACCTCACTGGCACCCCGCCACGCCCCGCCATGCCCCGCCCTGCGCATGCGCCTTCGTCACCAGGCGACGCTGCCGGCGCCGTGACTTCTCCACATTCCGGAATGGAGGAGACTGTTTCGCTCGACGTTGCTGTTTCGCTACGCGGCGGCAAAAAATAAAATGGTGTAACGTTGCGCATGGACGGACGGCAATCGAAACGATCCGCATTTACCTGATTTGCGCACGGGCCCGCGGCGACCTAACGGACACAAAAACGAGCAGGCAGGACACGTGCTGCGAAATGGCGCAGGCAGGCAGGCAGCACACTGGCAGCACGAGATGGAAACGTCGCGCTCCGCCCGCAGCCACTGCAGCCTGCACCGTGCTGTCTGCCGAAGTGGGACACAAAGCCGGCGTGACAATGACACCTGCATCCAACAGTGCATCCCCGCCCCGCCCCGCCCCGCCTCGGCCGAGGACAAATGACCGTACCTGCGGCACTGCAACACGGCGGCAGACTGATTCCGAGAGTCGTTTTCGTCGCTCTGTCTCTCTCGCACCCTTGCGGGACGCCCCACGAGTGCGCGAGAGACAGAGCGACGAAAACGACTCTCGGAATCAGTCCGCTGGAGGCCTTGAGGAGCACCAGGCGCATCGCAGGCGATCGTCGGCCGGCCTCGGCCGACGTCCAGTTGGCAAGGTAGGCAACACTGCAGCCAACGGCCCGGCAACACCCCGATAATAAAAGGGGTGGTCCGTCTACCTGGGGCGCTGGGACGCCAGCGCTTCGGGACCGCCCTGGAGCATGGAGCGCCCTCCTGGACCACCCTGGCCTCCTCAACCTAGTGGTGGCTGCAGCGCCACGAGGCAGTCCGGGACTCACGCAACAGGTCGGACGTCGCAACTGCACGGCCCGCCCCGAGGGGGTATGCGCTCTCTGAACCTGTGTACCGACTATTACGCTATTACGCTCTATTACGCCACAAATTAATCGGAATTTAGCTAAAAACGGCCTAAAACACACCAAAATTTATAAAATTTTGACAATTTCGGCTATTACGCGACTATTACGCGTATTATTACGCGTGCTATTACAGATAGAGTGAACCGACTATTACGCGAGTGCATACCCCCTCGGCCCGCCCCGAGGCCCGCCCGCACTTTACGTGTGTCTGCCGTCTGCCTTGCAGCCGTATCATTCCTTCCTTCCCACCAAAGCTTCGTCGCTCTGTCTCTCTCGCACCCACGCGTCGCCCGCCTCGGCCCGCCGTGAGAGTGAGCGCAGTTCGGAATGCAGCTTGTAGAGAGGAAAGGCGAGACTGGCGTCGGATGCGAATCCGGCCCACCGGGAACGTTGTTCGGGACACCTTCAACGAGTTGCCTATAAACCTGCGGGCGGTTCCAGCGGACATTTAGAGGAGTCGCGACCCCGTCGTATGACTGCGCGGCAGCGCGGCAGCGCGCTGGAAAGGTGGCCATTCAGCCATTCAAGAGCCGCGGCGGCCCGCGGTCGAGGCCGCGAGAGAAAATTCATATTTCGCATAGACACTTTCAAACCGGCCGCCCTGGCCGGCGACGCGTCGCGGAGTCGCGGCGTAGCTGTTTTTGCAGCGTGAAAGCGGACGGCGCCGGCCCCTCCGCCCCGCCCCGCCCCGCCCCGCCCGGCGTCTGCCCCGTAAGACGAAAAGAACGAGGCTAGATGGAGCGACCCACTGGGCAGCGTGCCCACGCCCGATTTCGAAATAGCAACCAAGCTCCTCTGCCTTGCCGCCTTGCTGCCTTGCCCTGCAGTCGCGAATCGCCCCGTTCAAAAATACGGCGCTGTACCAGCTGTACTTACTACACTACAGCACGAGGCCGTGGGTTAGGAGAGAGGGCGACAGGGCCTTTTGGACACGGCTCCTTTTATGAATATGTAGAACCTTGGCGACGGCATGGGCAGCCGGTTGGGCAGCCACGCGCGGACGTCCAAATTCGAGCCGAACCATGCAAATCTGGACACAGCCATCCGGGACCGCCTCAGGGGCCAGCAGGCCGATTCCGAGAGTCGTTTTCGTCGCTCTGTCTCTCTCGCACCTACACGGGGCGCCCCATGAGTGCGAGAGAGACAGAGCGACGAAAACGACTCTCGGAATCGGCCTGCAGGGCTGTGTGGCTGCCCTGCCGGGGCGTTCCCTCCTCGAGAGTGGCGGCGCGCGAGCGCGGGGCCAGGCGGAGCGTGGCCGAGCGTGGCGAGGCTCGCGAAGGCCCCGCGGACGAACCGCCACCGCGCCGCCTTGGACTTGAACTTGAGGGCCGCGAGCGTCCCTGCCACGGACCAAGTAGATGCCCCAGGCTGCCGCAGGCGGGGTGGAGCGGGGCGGGGCGGGGCGGAGCGGGGCGGAGCGGGGCGGGCGATATCAGCTTGCATCATATCTGCCAACCACTCCGTCCGTCGGCCGTCGGCCACTTGAGCCGCGTCGGTCATTTCACGGCCGGCTGACGCACTGCTCGGCGCGAAGCGCGAAGCGCGAGGCACCGCCAAAACACGGGTAGGGGCCACGCTGCAGCACGCTGCAGCAGGCCAAGCAGTCCCAGCTCCCAGTCCCACAGCGGAGCGCGCCGCAGAGGAAGTCCGGCAACGTGCATGCCTGTCCGTCTGTCCGTCGGCAAGCTCTCAGCCTCCTGGCGGCCTGACGGCGGACACACGGACGGCATCGTCACTTTGTCTCTCCGCCCCCGCAGGGCCCCGGGCCTACCCGGGCCTGGGCACCGGCACCGCTGTGGCACCGCAGGGCCGCCACCGCCGGCTGGCTGGAGAGCTGGAGGCTGAGGCTGGAGAAGCGGGAGAAGACTGGAGCGTTGCTGGAGCTGGAATTGCCAGTGCATGCTTGCCGGCAAAATCGCTTATTCAGCGACTTCGCTCACTCCGCGGCGGCGAGACGCGGATTCGGCAGTGGCGCAGTGACTGCCAGGCGGCGCAGCGCACAGGAAGGAGTCCCTTCGGGTGTCCCTGCCGGAGGACACGTCCCCCTGACCACTTCCTGCCGAAGGACGCACGGCGTCTGCGTCTCCCACACGGCCGCACCGCACCGCACGCACATGGCGCATTGTTCCGAGATTCCTCGAAACGGAACGGAACGACAGGAACGCCTCCCTGCAGACCGATTCCGAGAGTCGTTTTCGTCGCTCTGTCTCTCTCGCACGCATGAGGCGCTACGTACAGGTGCGAGAGAGACAGACCGACGAAAACGACTCTCGGAATCGGTCTGCTGGCCGCCAGGCCGTCGGCAGCCGTCGGTGGAGGGCGTGGAGGGCAAGCGAGCCTGCAAGGTTGCCGCCACAGGGGCACCGCGACGCTGTCAGCGGACCTGCACTCGAAATGGACGCGCCGTGAGTCCGAAGTGGCGAATGCGGTCAACTTGTTGGCGGGCGAGGCAAAGCCAGGCAAAGCCAGGCAAAGCGCCGAAAGCAGCACGACGGCCGCGCTGACTTTTATTCGGCGGTTTTGCTGACGGGCAACTACCGCGTCGGCGAAACGCGCGAAACGCCAAGACACAGCAAACACTGCGAGCAACGAGCACGGTGCAGCGTCGCTACACTGTTCCCCTGCTCTCGGAACGGGCCGAGCAGTGCATTGGGGGCATTGGGCAACGTGGAGAGGACGCGCCGAACACGCCCACTTCGGCCGAAACGAACCGAACAAGTCTTGGAAATGCTCATCTTCCATGGCTCTGCTGCCACGCTGCGCCGCGCCACGGAGCCGGCCCCGCAGCGCCCCGCCTCCTGGTTCCCCCCCGGGGGCTCCTACCCGACCCGGACACTGGGCCCCCGCCTCCCCCCGCCACCACCGCCCCGCCCCGCAGCTCTGCCAGACACACTAGAGGATGTTTACCGGACTATGCTTGGCGTGGCGCGGCGTAGCGCGGCGTCGCTGGCGAGGCTGAGAGCAGAGCGAGCAGAGCGAAGCAAGAAGAGTAAAAGGAAGTCCTGCAGCACCGCTCTGGCTGCTTTGGTTTGTCTCAGAAATCAGGGGGAACAGAGAATCGGATTCGTCGGGCTGCACCTTGCCGGCGGGTCGCCGTTCGGGACTTCACTCCATTCTGGACATTCTCGGCGGAGGCTCGGCCGCGCGCCGCGACCGCGCCGCGACAGAGCGGCGGAGTATCGGTGTCGCCGATGACTTATCCACTTAATTAATGCTGATTGATGCTGAACTCGGACGTGGGAGTGCCCGCCTGTTCCCGCCCACCGCCCAGGCAGGGCCTGGCAGGCAGCCTGTCAGACGTATCGGCGCTCTTTGCAAGGAGTGCCGCTCTAGCGCCTGCTTTCTGCTTTCAGAGATAGCGCCGGTTATCCTGTCTGACAACCGACAGGAATAGGACCTAGATACCGTGTCCGCGAATGGCAGCATGGCAAGGGTTTCTAGGACGCCACTTCGGTTTTGTTGACGAGACGATTCTCACCTAGGTCCTCGACGAGCCGCAACATGACGCCGCCGATGTGGAGGTCTCCCTTGACGCGAAGGGACCGCTCGACCTGCAGGTCCGTGACGAACACTCGCAGGTTCCAGGAGCCATCGCCCACCAAAAAGCCCTCGGACATCATCTTGAAGCTTCACTCTGTCACTGGCAAGGGGGCCGAGCGGGGGAAGGGACCACAATCACACACTTATTTTTCTTTTCCCTCGTTTCACGTCGTGACTGTCGTGACACGCGCGCATCCCAATCACATCGTGGCACGCGCGTCACACGGGGTCACGACGGGTGCAAATCCACAGGTGCAGGATCACTCGCGAGCACGGGTGGGCCGGACTTCGACAAGACGTTTCTGGCGACGAGGATGCGGCGGACGCGCGGCGTAGACCCTTCGTGGATGAAGGCCGGCGGCACACTGGCGTGGCGCGGCGCGGCGCGCGGCGTGGCGGGCGGTGGCGTGGCGGGCGGGCGATGGCGGCGTAGCCGGCGCGAGCGCGAGGCCCCCCCCCCCCCCGCCCCTCCTCTCCCCACCCCGACCGCAAGTCGTTTCGTCTCCGCATCACACCTCTTCCTCCCACTTCCTCCACCTCCACACCCACGACTTCTTCTGTCCACTTTCCTCATCGAAGTTACTTTAACTATGCATTCCCATGAAATTCTATTTTTCAGCGTTTAACGTCGATTCTGAAGACTGGTTTTGACAAAATTCACACGCAGCAAATTGTTGAAAAGGTCTTCCCCAGACCCCTTGTCCAGTGGAGGCGTGGACTCAGTGGTGAAGGAAATTCCCTTGTGAGTCTACCGTCTGTAACACTATGCCGACTGCCACTAGCCTATCTGCATCGATCTGTGATTTATTTTCTCCGGGTGGCAAGAGTCCTAGACGTTAGATTCCTCAAACTTAGAAGCAACTCCGCGCTGTCGCTGTGGCTACGCTGCACTGTAGGCCTGTATACAGGACCCGCCACGCCGCATACTTGCGCGTCTCAATTCAAAATACGCGGGGATACAAGATGGCCGGCGCATGACGTCACGTCTTGGCGGTTCGCGGTCCCGAGAACTTCACCCCCCACAGCCATCCGCTAGAGAAGAACAAAATGACTTCTTGTAGCGGTTACAGTTTCGCGCGCTGTGATTGGCTGAGTTCATTGTCTGCCGTCGTTTGAATTTTGTTGTCATTATCTCGTGGTTTGTTTTCGTTAGGAACTTTTGTTTCATTTTTAAATGTTACCTGTTTGTTGTAACTGATTTTGGTTAGGTTTATCAATGTGAAGCAAGGATTTAACATGGGAATCGGTTCATTTTAAAATCGGCTCGGCGGGATCTTGCAATTTCTTATTTAAAAATAGCCTCTAGCCTGTCGTCCACTAGTGTCAGTTATTCGAGAAGAAAGGCAAAATGTACAACTCCGATTTAGATGTTCCTAAGGAAGAATTAAACAGTGCTATAGTTCAAGAACTGCGTCTTCTTGGTCTCAAACATGGCACCATACCGAAAAGGGTCAACAAATCAAATCAGGTACTGGGCTTTAATGTCATCATCAGTTCGCATTTCCTTGACTTTAAATCCCTACCGCTTTTAAACTGGCTATTTATGTATGAATTTCTATTTGAAGCGCTGTCGTTTTATGTGTACAGACCTCTGCTCCCTGTTTTTATTTTGCATTTTATTTTGCATTTGTTTCAGAGTTCTAAAACTCAAGGTAATCGCGGATGTCTCTTCCGTAAACCATTGGGCCTTTTGTCCTCAAGATTCGTTCAGTTGCAATCTGGCATTAATGCTGAAGTTCCCAACATTATACAAGAAATATGCTGCTGTATAGTTCAGCAAGCCGGCGTAGAGGGCCTCTTCCGCAAAGCTGGCTCAGCAGTCCGTCAGAAAGAAATTAGGGTCAGTTTAAATTTGAATGTACGATCCCTCCAGGCTATTGAAGTTTTATTAGCTACTCACAAGTTCTGTTTTTTTCTTTCCAGGCTTTGCTTGACCAGGGTCTTAAAGTTCAGTTTTCGCATCACCATGTCATAGATGTTGCCAATCTACTAAAATACTTCCTCCGTGAATTGTCTGAGCCTGTGCTTCCATTTGCCTTTCATGACTTGTTCCTCCACTGTTTGTTGTTGGATGATACTGTGTCCGCTGTCCTTTTAGTATGTCTTCTTTTACCTAGACCACATCTACATGTCTTAGCATATCTTATGGAGGTGAGTCATGTTCTTCATGCTGATTGCAAGGGTTTTATTGCATGATTATTTTAAATGTTTCTTCTGATTGCAGTTTTTCCACCTGATCTCGGGTCTATCTGAAGCTAATAAAATGACAATTAGTAACATTGCCATTGTGATTGCCCCATCTCTGATGCCAGTATCAGAGAAAATTTCAGTTGTACAAAATCCTCAGCGCATTGGTGCCCATGTGCGCATTATTGAGGTTTGTACCAGATTTGAGGATGAATTTTGTCTCAGATTGTGAAAGCAAATGTACAACCTTCTTCCTTTTCAGATTCTGATAACACAAGCAGAACGCATTGGTGTATTACCCGATGGAGTTGTTAAAAAATTATCTCTTGCACCATCAGTTTCCAACATTTCCCTTCTAAGCGACGATCACATAAGTGGCGCCTCTTTTTCTTCCAAAAAAAGGAGACGCCGCAGTGGCTCACTAACTCGTAAGTTTCATTCTTGGATTTTGTTGCTACTGTCAGCCAGTCCCCTCAGAAGCCATTTTAATTCTTCTCTTTCCATCAATAGGAATGTTCAATGGCCTGAAGAAAATAGTGGCAGGCAAGTCCTCCCCTGGGGTGGACTCTGAGTATTCAGGCCTGGAAGAGGAGGCAGCTCTTGTTCCATCAAACACTGACTTTTCTACACCCTGTGTTAAGTCTGCCAAGAAACGGAAAGCCATGGATCCATCCTCTGCCTTTTCAAGTAAAAAGAAGTAAGTAGCTATAGTTTTAGGCTCAGTCTGATTGTTCATTCTCAGTGTTACAGTTTATGGAGTTATAAATTTCTTCTTATTTGTTTGCAGGAGGGATGTCTTATTGGCACTTCCTCAAAGCACAACTCTAGCTGATACTCCATTTAAAAAGGCTTCAAATGGTTTTAGCCAGGACTCCAATGAAACTCCCAGGGTCTGCCCCCACCCTAAGTAAGTTATTGAAACTTATAAACTTCCTATTTCTAGAATTGGGTATTGATCTTATCCTATTCTTTCTTGTTGTACTTTATAATTAATTTCATTCATTTTTTTTCTAGTCCTGTTAGTAATCCAAAAAGCAAGTCAAAAAGTCCTCAAAAGAATAAAAACCGCAAATTTTTCCCAACAAGAACGTTTTCGGAATCGTAAGTAACAATTACTCTTTGCTGGTAATGCAAATAAAGGGGAAAAAAGGACTTGTCAACATCAAACTAATTTATTTGATCTGTGTTGCAGTGACAATCGCAAACCAATTACCAAGAAAGGTCTGTCAGGAGTAAGTAACTTTGTAATCAAAAAGCAGGTAAGATTCTAATGTCTATCATTTAAATAAAATTTTGCACTCCTTTCAAATTTTGGGCTTAGATTTACATAACATTATGTCATTTCAGAAACAACGTTCAGAACGTCATTCTACAAGTGGTAACTTCCTGGAGCGGAGCTGGAGTGCTGTAAGCAGCAGTCATTGGGGCCGCAAAAAGTCTCGCCAGTCTGACCAAACCAGATTGAGTGTGGCCTCTACATCCAGTGCCTATGTCCCAATGGATAGTGACTCCAGCCATGATGCTGACACTGACATTGGTATTGATCTCAGTCAAGAGGATCCATTTGACCCAAGTCCAAATGATTTTGTCCAGGTGCCAAAGAGTGAATATGAAGATCTCAAAACTCGTATGTCAGCTATTGAGTCTTGCATAACCCAAGAATTCAATAGTATGACTACCCCAGAAAATAAATCTAGTCCAGAGAAGATGAATGCAGCCAACACTCTCTTAGCTGTACAGACTGTGTATGAGAAAACCCTGGAGGGTGCTGACATTGCTAAAGATGTCTCCACCGATCAGCTTGCTAAGCGGCTGAGCAGAGAACTTAAAATTCGGCGCTCAGTCGAAAACAGAGTTATAAGGTCCCCAAGTGCACGAAAAATAGGGACAATTCGGCGCAGGTCAAGGGAGAGACAGAGTCCTCGGCGTGAACTGCGGAGGAATAAGTCGTGGCACATGATGCAGAGGCCAGCCAATGTGACTGCCCTCTGTGCTGCAGTTTCATCACCTGAGACACCAGCCGCCCAGAACAACCGCTTACGAAGAGGTCGCCCCAACACTGTATTCTCAGGACTTCCACAGCCAACCCCTAATCGCGTCACTAAAGATATTCGAAGTGATGACATAATCCCCATTTTGGGAGGGGATAATTCTCCTGTGACCAGAAGCCAGGCTCGTCGAGCTTGTTCCTTCCATGGCAGCGAAGCCTCTTCCCCTGTACTGCCATCCTCTAAAAAATGCCGCAGTCAGGTGAATTTGGCCAAAGCGGCCTTGCTTGCACATGCACAGCAGAAAAGCAAGGGCAACCTTGAATTCGATGAGAAATGGCGAGATGCTCAAGAGCTTCTGAGCTCCTCCAAAGATTTGCTTAGTGGTGTTCCCACCACTGGCAGGGAGTCTATTGCCAAGTTGCGGAGTGAAAATGCCGGCAAAGTCCTAGCCACTGCTAAAATGTTTAGTGCAAGCAAGGAAGCCCCAAAGCCTGTTGAGGGAAGGAGGAGCAAAGTGCACGAGACAACGTTTGTGAGGGCAAGCCTGGGTGGCAAACAAGAAGAATCATCCCCATGTGTGAAGACAGAACTCTCCTCAAATGGTGGCCATGAAGCCATTAGGAAGTCGACCAATCCTTCTTCCAACATTCCAAAGGTTGAAGCACCCGTTAAAGCTGATGCTTCTACCATTATTCCGAAGATGAACGATGACAGGAGCACAGCTGTGCGCCCTTCAACTAGAAGATTGCGTGGCAAGGCCTCCCCCACTCAATCACCCACAGTCCGAAATTTGAAAGTGAAGAAACATAGTAGCATGAAAGTTGATAGAGTTGCACACTCACAGCCAGTAAGACGTAATCTTTCAGTACCTGTACAACTGATGGACTCAGGAAAAGAGAACCAAGTTGGTGAGTCATTGCGCAATGGTTCAAACCTCCCGCGAGGTTTGTCACCCCAACTATTGAAAGAAAGTGTACCACTCACAGACAGAATCCAAAGGATATCTGTATCACCCCTGAAAGATTGTAATCGAATTTCTGTCCAGTCAACCCAAGTCATGAAATATCCTTCAGAGACCCCGTGCTTGACTCCAAATATTAAGCAACCTCTTAGAGTTCTCACTCCAAGACAGAAATCATTCACTCCTCAAAGAATTTGTCCTGGAAATACCCCACTCAAGGTAATGCCAACTTCTGCATTTACCCCCAAACATTCAGCTCAACAACGGCAAAATCCCCCTCGTTTCCATCATTCTACCAAAGCCATTAAGCTTGCAAGATCTTACAACTAGAATATTCGTTTGTGCTTAAACTGACTGTCTTCTTTTCTGATTTTGTGAAATGTGTACTCTTTAGTTTGTAAGTGTTTTAATGTTTGTGTGTATCTTTAGTCAAACTGATAGTTGTTCAGGAAAAACTCTGTTAATTAATTCTGTGGAATCCATTTGTTTTCTGCCGCTATGACAGAGGATATTGTAAATTGAAAGAATCTATTAATTTTGCTGGATTCTGTATTGATGAGTTGCAACCAACTTTGTAGAACTCCTTTTTTTCCCCTGTAGTTGCCATTCAAATTTTAAGTATGATTATATATCTCCTCAGATTGTAATTTTGTGTGCCTTTGTACCCAACTGTAGCAAGTGCTGTGTGAATTAAAAATGAAATAAATCATTATCTTTGGAACATTGACAAAAACATTTATTGAAAGTACATTCTTTAGGAGTATCGATGGGTTAGCTAATACATTGAGGACAGACCTTTAGTTTTATATTAATTAACTTTCCCTTTTGTTTTCATAATCTACATCTTCTAAACAGGCAGTAACACAGAGGTATCAACTGTCATAGAAGTCCAATCAGTCTTAGATAAACGGATTTATTCAGTTTCATTTGGACGAACTGGGAATAAACAGGCAGAGAAGATTTCTTTCAAAAGAAGAAAATCGCAACTATCCAGAATTTCAGACTTAATAGTTCTCAAATTTGGTGATGTAATCAGGAATGTTTAATTGTAAATTGAGCATGACATTTGCTTAAGATTGTTTCTCTGGGGCTGTTCGTTGTACCGGAAAATACTTTAGGTTACTTTTAGCATTTAAGCAAAAGGTTTCAGAATGATAACAAGTTGCACACATTCGATGTCCATTCAATTACATTTTTAAGTACATAAAACTGGGAAAGCATGAAAAGTACTAGGCTCAAAAACTGCTGAAGATGAAAGAGGTTTTAGCTAAACACTAAATGTTTCATAAATCCTTAACTTGTACGTATCTTCCATCCGAACACTGATAAGTCTAATACATTCCTCAAAACCAAACCAATCTTTGTGCGGATTACAAATATCTTTCATGACAGGCTACTACATCAACACAGAAAACTATGGGTTACGGACATTGAGCAATCTGCATTCTCAAACAAAGAATTAAAATCTGAGTGCTTGTTACAACAGCAATACTCCTGCACACTTGAAGAATAAATACAGTAGATGTGTTCATGAATAGAGAGATAGATCCATGAATCAATAATGCTGCTATGGCATCTCTTTGATGACAGAACAAAATACAGCACAGCCTAACTGAAATTTTGCAGGCTATAAAGATTGCTTTGGTCATAGTGACACCTAATACACATAAATCAAAATACAATGTTACCAAGATAGACAAATCTATAGTTTGAAAAGAGAGAGAACTCATTCTTATTGTTTGCTTTACTACGCTAATCTAAAATGCCTCGTTAAGATGGGGCATTGAAAAAGGCACTAGAGAATAGTAATTAGACATAAAAGCCCTATTATCCAAACAGCTACAAGGGACCTTGTTCTGAATTTGACTGACATTGACTGAAGAACAACCAGTGGGTTATAAAACAAGTTGTAAGTCTTCCAAAAAAGACAAAAAGTTCGATGAACTTAATAAAAAAATAGATACAGTTCGATGCATACTGTACTCCCATACTTAACACAACCTGCAAAACAGTGCTTCTTGGATTCAAAGCACTTTAACTTTGTTTCTCTCTGAGAGAAAGGTTTTTAAAATCACATTTGTTAGGAAAATAACACCTAGAAGCTTGAGTTTCATAATTCATCTTGGCTGTGAAACCATTAACTATAAGCAGACCTGGGGTAATGATTAACAATAATATTATTATTTGAAATAAATAAAGTGACATTGTCAAATTTGTAACTCATTTATAAACACTCCACAGATTTCAGTCATTTCATACACTTATGTGCCTAATATAGTAAGCACAATTACTATTCTCAGTGACATTATTCAAAATAAAACTTTTAGAGTCACAACCTTCATTAGTTCATTCATTTATCTTGACACAATGACAGACAGTGCACTAAAGTGTAATTTTTTTCCAACAGGTTAAAAGTAACAAATGGTTACTCGTGCACACAATAGCAGATTCCTTGCTTTCATCCGAAAGAAAAGGTTGAATTCATGATAAGTTGTCATGCATGAATGTAAAGATGATGTACATGAGATAAAAAGTAAATAAACACTATACAAAATACAGCATACTATAATTATTTCAGACAGACATGCAAAAGCTGCAATAATAAGAAGTCTTCAGTGAATACTAATTTGTAATTTTCATTATTTTCAAAATATGAGAGATGGGCAAGAAAGCAAAGTCACATTTAACATGCTAAAATTTTAGAATTATGTTTGCCCTTTTAAATACATTGCAGGATACTTAAAAGTAAGTATGAGCAGTGAGTAAATATAAGGCTTTAAAAATATAACAGTTAGGGAGTGGTCGTTTTCCTGTGGTTGATTTTTTGCAACCAATTGAGTTGCAAGTTTTGACAGAAAATGCAGCACTTTAAATTTCCATCTAAAAGAGTGAACATAATTAAACAGTGCTCGTATTGGACACATTAACTGCTAAATTAATTAACAACAACAACAATAACAATCACATATAATTTGGCAAAACTAAATCACACAATTTCCCACCAAGAGATGAAATTCATTGTTACGAATATTTCTAGTCCTGATGAGCATTTCTGGGCCTGCTTGGCTTGAGAGCCTTTCTAACTAAAGGAGCATACAAATGCCATCCAAGGAAAAAGATGTACCCAGAGAAATATAGACTTTTGTATGAAGCCCAGTACCGATTGAATGACAACAGGACAAATGGTATGAGACAGAAGCCCATGAAAACGAAGGTGTAAAGTTTCAAGAGGATCCAGACGATTGGAGACACCACAGGTTTAGCAAGGAAAGCAGCAGCCTTTTCATTCCTTGCCAGAAGACTTTCCACCTGAAAGATGATTAAAATATGTTAGAATACAGTATTTTTGCCACAATTTTGATCAGTTTAAAAATAAATACAAAAAGTAGATTGAGAGAGAGTTCTCATGTCCTTACTTCTTTTTCCATAAGCATCACTATAAATTCATTTAGGAAACAGACATAGTATCCTGAGTGGAAACCATGCCAAATGGCAAGGAAACCCAGTGCTCCAGCTTGAGAGGCATGCTTGCTGTTCAAAAACTTTAAACGTTTGTACACATACCTGGGAGAAAGCAGAAAACAGTTGTCTATTATCACAAACCTTATTTTATTCTCACTGTCACCTTTCTAGGCAGCAAAATCTTTCATAGGAATGGGACCATATGTCTGCAGAATTCTTGAATAACTGTACTTACTGGCCGATCCAGTTATTGGTGTTAGTGTTGAAAGACAAAATGTAATGATTGAATTTGGTACAACCCTCAAACACTGACAGTTTGACATTTGCACACCCATCCCACAGGGCCTCATCATTTTCATCTTTCCCATTGTAAGTGATTCCTGTAATTCCCCACAAAAGAAAAAAAGTATCTGGAGTTAGAAACATAGGTAGTCTTCTTTAAAGGGTGGTAATCAGGAGCTTCTATACTTAACATACCTGACATAATACACACTCCTTCTGTAACCAACCAGCACGAAATATATTTATATAACGTAGTGCGACCCCACAATCCTATCATCAGGTGCTTCTTGATGAAGCTTTCCTCCTGAAAATGGAATGATTCAATTATTGAAAGGGCTGCATAACATTTGGTAGGACACTTATAAATGATTCAGTGACATACCATGAAGCTTTCAGAATCGGGATACATGTCTGGGACCCACAGTGTTAAAATTTGGTAAATACTAAGATACAAAATTCCGGTTCCCAATCTGACAAGTGCAGGTTTAACACAGTCTGGCAATTCAGAGGGGCTACTCTGGAAAATAAGTACACAAAATTAGGAAAATTATGTACAGAGAACTTTTCAAAATTTTGGTGATTAATCACATTTTAACTTACTGATGGAACAAGTTTTCCAGACACAAAGTTTTGGTATCTTTTCATGTGGAATTGAGGTCCCACTAGGAACGCTGAGGGGAAGAAAGAGTGGCCGTACAGTTCAAAAATTGATGGTAGCTGATCCAAGGCTGATTTTTTATTCTCAGCAGATAGAGATTCCTACAGACCCAGAACAAAGGAACACAGAATGTAGTACAAAATTCAGCAAAGAAGAACACAGCAACAGATATTACGAATAGAATTCTTTAGTGCAATTATTACCTTTTTTTGTGACCCATCATACATATCTATGGCAACTCCAGTCAATCTCAAGGTAAGAACACAATGGGGCATGGTCCATTTTATGTCATAGACATCGGTGCTTGTCGAATAGTAACCTGAAATCCCGGCACTAATTTAGAATGGAACTTATGGAATTTATGAAATAGTTGTTAGGGTGGCACTGAGAGCTTACCCCACAGAAGGTACGTCATTGTGAAGGAAAGGGTTAAAACTGCTCCAAATACAGAGCCACCAAATAACAATAATATGACATACACAACTGCTACAGTTCCAATCAGGTGAAGAATATCCCATCCTGAAATCAAGTTTTCAGGTAGTACTAAATTTTCAATCACAATACAGTTCAGTAATTTTGATAACTATGAAATGGATTTGGCTAACCATAGCAAAATGAGGCCACAGAGAACCCTGTGGTGATGAAGAGCAAATGTTGCAAGATCGGAGACCGTCCATAGAGAAAGTGTCGATGGAAAAGAACGATTGGATATCCTGCACATAAATTAGATCATTAGAATTCAATTTAAAAAAAATAAAACAAATAGAATAATGAAAATTGAAGAATGATGGGGAAAACAGGTGACAATCATGACTATGCAATCATCCAAATGGGGTCACTCGCATGTTAGATTAGTAAGCTGCAGCATTGTGTAGCAAGAAAATTTCAGTGCGAAGAGGAACGATTAATTAAAAGCATATTTTTAATAGTAAAATAGAAAAATTAAAGGGATTTAGATGAGAGACGTGGCCTTCTTTCTACATTATTCCAAAATAGTACATAACTTGCGCCAGAAAGTCCAGCATTACATCGACCTTGACGTCACAGACAAATTGAATACGAGACATGGAAACTTGGGAGTAAATCAAACAGGATTGTTTTAATGTTATACAAGTCATTGTAACGACCAAGAAGGAAAATGTCATGACATTGAGAAAACACATTCCCATTTTGTTGGTTAGGTGCTCCGTCTTCTGCTGTGTTCTGCTGTAAACTTACCAAGAAAGATTGATAATAGGAGTCGAATGGCATGTTCTGAAGCCCCCAAATAGTCGGAGAGTGGCGTGAGGAACGAGGTCCCTGTACCGTCAGGCGCAACCATTTCGTTGCGCCCTAAGTTTGAACGCGCAGTAAAATAACCCGCAGCACAAAGTTCCACCGACCGACTGACAATTCAACACAGCTTGGTTCGTGTCGCCGCCAGCAGAGCGCGCGCGTGCCGCCGCCGCCTCGCCTGCCGCCCACGGCGCGGGGTTCCAACGCTGACGGGCAACCCGCTGTGGTTTCGAACGTGTTGTTTTGTATAGTGTACTGTATATGCGCTATTTATACGCTTAGAAAAGAGAGGAAAACACAATCCATTAAAAAACAAAACAACAAGTATTTTTATTTACAAAACAGCTGAAAACGGGTGACTCATCAGGTCGACATAAACTGAAGATAAAGAGGGACGGGAACGGGGCGACGGCGATCGAGAGACTTGATCACCCGATGTGATGATCGGTCGGTGGACTCTGTCCGTCAGTACTTTTGCATGGGTGGCCTGAAACATAGTAACGCAATGGTTGTAGCTAAAACTACAGCAGTAGAAGGAAACAAGGACACCAAAAAAATTCCAGACGAGCATGGATGAGTGTGCTAAACCTGAAACCCATGAATACTCAAACAGGTCCCACCCACGAGGGAACACGTAGCTCGCAACCTTGCTACGACAAAGTTTCGGCCACGTCACGTGTACGCTCTAGAGCGCCCTAGTAAATGATCGGTCTGGCGGGATGGACTTTTGACCTGAAGCGCCCGCCTCGCCGTTCTGCAACACACCGATGAGAGAACAGTGGCCTACCTTGCCCCCGACAAGACGAGGCGCAACGCAGACCACCATTCTCACTACTGTGTATTGCGGGACGGTGGGGCGGCCTACCCGGCAGGCGCTTCTGCAGACTGAAACCAGGCAGCGCACAGTGGGCCAGAAGACCGGCGGAGGCGGCCAAAACCCCGGACGGGTTTTGAGCTCCAGAGTCGCTAAAAGGGACTCGAATCGAACGTGTGACCCCACCAATGAATTGCTCTCCGAACGAGGAATCCATTGGTGGGGTCACAAGCTCGGTTTAAGTCCCATTTAGTAGCGTCTCTGGAGCTCAAAGCGCGTTTAGAGTTTTGACCGCCTCCACCAGTCTTCTGGCCCACTGTGCAGCGTTTCATCGCACTGTCTCACTCGCACCGGTACGGAAAGCAGTATGAGTTTCGAGAGAGACAGAGCGACGCAAACGATGTCCGAAATGGCCGTGCAAAGGTCAAAAGGCTTTGGCTTCACTGTAAGGTTTCGAATGAATCCGCTTCAGGGCGGCAGCGAAAACGCACTGACCCGCAGTACGACGACTGGTACGGGTAGGGCTGAGGGTCCTGCGTCCCGGACGCCGACGAGGACGACGGCGTCGTCTGCGAGGCCACCTGGGGGAAGCCCCCGTTCATGGCGTGGTGGACGGCGTGGACGGCGTGCGCGGAGTGCGGCGCGTGGACGCCGTGGACCTGAGGGTAGGGCGTCGTCGCGGCGTGGTGCTCGGCCAGGGTGTTGCTGTGCATCACGAAGCCGGCGTGTGCGGCGCCGTGCGCGGTGCCGTGGGGGGAGTCACTGCCCAGGTAGACGCCACCGCGGTACGCGTCACCGCCCGAGCTCGCGTACTGCGAATATGCACTGTAACACCAACACCGCAAAGTTTTTCCTTCACATGTCTCTCTGGATAGGGTACTTTCGTAGAATCCTGAACCGGAAGCAAGCAGACCAGCAGACGCCAAATTGGCCGGAAACTAACCTCTCTTCGGATCCAAAACTATAGCCGAGCTGTACAAATATTGCTCCCGAAACACATATGCACTGCAAACAAGTATCAAACGACTATTTATGTTCAAGTGTGGCCGATACCTTTGACGAACGTCTCTTTTCCATGTCAAGTTTGGATCTACTTCCGCCAACATGGCGTCTGTGTGCTTCCGGCTCAGGGATCTACGAAAGTACCCTATTGGAGTGACTGTAACCGACTGTAGCGCAGTCCAACTCACCAGGGGTACGGCGGCGTTGGCGTCGGCTTGCCCCGGTCGTGCTGGTGGACTTGGTGCGGCGGGTGGTGGTGGTACTGGGGCACCTCCTGTTGAGCCTGGTAGTGGCCCGGGTACAGCGACGTCGCATCACCGTATGCCCTGCAAGCGGGAGCAGCAGAACGTTACTCCCGTCTGCGGAAACGTCTACTGAACCAGCCGGGCGTGTCGACGCTCTGCCTCTGTCGCACTCATGGGGCCTCATGGGGCCTCACAGTGGGCCAGAAGACCAGTGCAGGCGGCCAAAACTCTAGACGCATTTTGAGCTCCAGAGTCACTAATTAAATTTAAATTTAAATTTAAATTAAATTTAAATGGGACTCAAACCGTGGTTGGTGTGACCCCACCAATGGATTGCTCTCCGAACGAGGAATCCATTGGTGGGGTCGAGGGGTCGTCAACTCGTATATTACTCCGTACACGGCCTCATATTACCATAATATTACCTTATATTACCTATATTACCTATATTACCACATATTACTTATATTGTCTCATATTACCATATATTACCTTATATTACCTTGTATTACCTTGTATTTCTTGGACAAAATGTCGTTTCCGAAAGAAAAAAGTGCGCTCTTTCGAATGCCGGGTCGCGCGAGGCTTTACGACGTCGGGTTTGGACGCTACGGGCTCTCAAAGTTGCTCAATTTCACTATTTTTAGTGAAGATTTGAGCGTATCGGGGCCGTTCGAAGCAGACCATCGGCGATTTCGCTTTTCTTTGGCTTAAATGGTGCCTACCCATAGGTAAACACCCCCACAAAATTTCAGCCATCTCAGGCAATTATTAGAGGAACTGTGATCAATTGAAGTTTTGGGTCATTTTACCACTGGACTTAAGGGGGCAGTCTCGTCCCTGTACCCTTTTTTAGGGGGGTTTTCCCCCCTCTTTTGATGACGATGATTTTTTAAATATACCTCTTAGAGACAAACAGTAAAAACCAAATGAAAGAACAAAATTTTTACAACATTTTCAAAAAAAAATATTTTGTTTTGTCTTCAGTTGTAAGGGAGTTATAGGGAAAGCAACAAAAGCCGACAAAACATACAAAATTTCACTGCGCGACAATTTTCTCCGGAAGTTCTTAACTTTTTGGCAATCGGTTTGCGGCATCTTGAAGATAAAAAAATCCTCTTTACTTTAACCTACAATCGTCCATATAGCCCAAGGATTACACTTTTTAAAACGTAACCAAAAACCTATACAAACTTAGGAACGGTTTTAATTTAGGTTTTCCTTGGGCTACATGGACGATCGTAGGTTAAAGTAAAGAGGATTTTTTTATCTTCAAGATGCCGCAAACCGATTGCCAAAAAGTTAAGAACTTCCGGAGAAAATTGTCGCGCAGTGAAATTTTGTATGTTTTGTCGGCTTTTGTTGCTTTCCCTATAACTCCCTTACAACTGAAGACAAAACAAAATATTTTTTTTTGAAAATGTTGTAAAAATTTTGTTCTTTCATTTGGTTTTTACCGTTTGTCTCTAAGAGGTATATTTAAAAAATCATCGTCATCAAAAGAGGGGGGAAAACCCCCCTAAAAAAGGGTACAGGGACGAGACTGCCCCCTTAAGTTTTGGGTCCAGAAAAAATATTTTTTTCAACTATCCCCATGTGATCAGCACCTCTTGAAACTTTTTTTAACATGGTGCCTTAAAACATTTGCCCCTAAAAGGAAAAAGTTGTCATTAGAACTTAGAGAAAAGGACTTTTTCCCCGAAAAAAATGTTTTGAGGCACCATGTTAAAATTACGTTTCAAGGGGTGCTGATCAAATATAGATAGTTGAAAAAAATATTTTTTCTGGACCCAAAACCCCCAAGTTGTCCTGATCACTACACTTTACTTTTCGAATCGTCTGCTTCAACTGCGCCAATCCCAGGTATGAGAAACTTACTGTGCTGCACTATCAATTTCTCATACCTGGGATTGGCGCAGTGCAAGCAGACGATTTGAAAAGTAAAGTGTAGAGGACAACGTTTGTCTCAAATGTTAAGATTTTCTTGTTTTCTGTGGTGTGGGCCATGATATGTGAGCTCCTATATCAGTCAGGGAGCTTCTCCTGATAGGACTGACGGAATCAATCGGCTAATGTGTTGAATTCTTCATCAGGTTAGTAAAATGAAGTAAGGGGAAATACTCAGACTGAAAAGAATATTTTCATATGGTGGAAATGGTCTGCGCAAGCATAATTTTACTTGTTAACCCAAAATCTCAACGTTGAAGTTAAAACACTCAAAAATATATCTCTGGACATGGAATGTCTGATTTGAATTGATGTTTGGGGGTGAATCCGAAGCTCAGAAGTGATCTTAGAAGTGAAAACATGCACTCTTGATTCATGCCGTTCAAGTTTCGATACCAAATTTAGCCCCAAAAGTATAAAATGTGGACCGATCCATAGTTAGGAAGCTGGGCCGGAGTTGAAATTTTGTGGGCTTGCTCGACTCAGGATAAGTGACTTTTGAAACAAGTATCGTCAAAATAGAAGGACCAGCTTTTTTTATGCATCCATTTTTGTGAAATTTTCATTGATTTTTCTTAATATTTCCCAAGTTTTTAAACTTTTTCAAAAATAAATTTTTCTTATGGATAGAGTAGTCTTTTGTGAAGACAATGAAACCTGGCTGGTCACTATCTGACCACAGATGCTCTGTGGACAAAAGTTGCGACATTCAACGTTGACAAAAATTTCAAGTCGCTATAAAATCTGAACGATTTTGAGTTGGACCAAAAAATTTTGCAGGGTGACTCAAGGGGTCATCCTAAGTGGATTGACACCTATTTTGGCCAATTCCATCGCCGTCGATTTCGGGGGGTGCGATGGTCTGGCGTGGAATTCCCCGTGGAGACTTTGTGGGAGCGTTTTCTCATCACTTACACCATTTTTAAATCAAATATTACCATTATATTACCATATATTACCTTGTATTACTTTATATTACCTTATATTACTTCATATTACTATATTACCACATATTACTCGTATTACCTTGTATTACATGTATTACAAGTAATATATACTACTCCGTACACGGCCGGGGAGAGTTGACGACCCCTCGGGTGGGGTCACGCGTTCGGTTCGAGTCCCATTTAGCAACTCTGGGGCTCAAAACACCTCCGGTATTTTGACCGCCTCCACCGGTCTTCTGCCCCACTGTGGGCCTCCCGTGGGGATGCGAGAGAGACAGCGACGTAATGCCCCGCGAAGCACGCTGCTCCCCACGGCACGCACGATGTACTCACCCCCGCTGGCTGTACCGGGCGAGCACCGCCCTGGAGTCACCGTGGTGCATGGCGGCCACGGCCTCGGCCACGGTGGGCGCGAACTGCGAGGCGTGCGCGTGGTGGCCGAGGCCGTGTCCGAGGCCGTGTCCGAGGCCGTGGCCCTGGTGGGAGGGGGCGAGGCTGAGGTGTGCGAGGTGGTGCGAGGGGCTGAGCACGGGCTGCAGGCCGGGGCTGGCGGCGGGGCTGGTGGAGGTGCAGGCGTCCGGCGTGGTCCTCGCCGACGCGTCCGACCTGTAGAGAGAACATAAGGGCACGTGAAGGAGGAATGCATGCAACTGCACACTTGCACTTGTGGAGTTTGCAGTCTCCAACCTGTAGGGGTAGCCCTGGCAGGACGAGCTGGGGGCCTCCACCTCCTCAGCGCCCTCGGCGCGCGCGTCCTCGGTGCCGGCCAAACCCGGACGCGCCCCGCCGCCGTCGTCGGCGAGGTGCGAGTCCAGGCCCAAGCCGCGCACTCGCGCCGCTTTCCGCCGCCGCGGCTGGTACTGCAAGCAGAGTGAATGGCGGTCGAGATAGCGGCCAGCAGACTGATTCCCAGAGTCGTTTTCGTCGTTGTCTCTCTCGCTCCTGGCATAGGAGACGTCCCATGAGTGCGAGAGAGACAGAGCGACGCCGCACGGCCTCACCTTGTAGTCGGGGTGCTCTTTCTTGTGTGCCGCACGCAGTCGGTCCGCCTCCTCCACGAAGGGCCTGCGCTCGTGGTCCTGGAGCTCCCTGGAATCAAGATTGCCACCAATGAGCTCCAAAACTCCTGACAGAATGTCACCTATCGACCGCAAGTGTGTCTGTCTCTAGCGAGACCATCGAATCCACCCAACGTTACTAACGCTACACGTGCATCCCATGAGACAACCCCGCCAAACACTGACGATATACTGACTTCCACAGCTTGCCGAGGGTCTTGCTGAGCTCGGCGTTGTGCAGCTGGGGGTGCTTCTTAGCGAGCCGCTTGCGCGCGGCCTGCGCCCACACCATGAAGGCGTTCATGGGCCTCTTGACGTGCACGCGCCGCGGGGAGCCGGGGCGCCGCGTCACGGGCACCGTGGTCCAGTCGTAGCCTGCGGGGAGGAAAAGGAGGGAAGATGGGAGATTGAAGAGAGAGGAACGCGACGCGACGCCCTCCCTCAGGATTAATGACGTGTGGGGCTCTACAAGCTGCAACGCAAATGGAGCGTTCGTCAGTTTGCACACCGCGAGCGGCGCGAGCCATGCGTCATCGCGGCCGTGTCCGCGTGTCGAGCAGCACCGCGTCGTCGGCTACCCACTACCCACTACCCACCCTGCAGCAGCCGGCCGACGGCGTGGTCCAGCGACGCCGGGCTGGCTGGGCCCTGGCCGCCCTGGCCGCCACCCTGGCCGCCACCCTGGCCGCCCTGGGCGACCTCCCCGCCGGCCGCCGAGGCGAACGAGGCCGCGGGGCTGGTGCTGCGGCGCTCCGCGCGCTTGGCGTGCTCCGCGGTGCTGCTGGGGCCGAGGCTGGGGCCGAGGCTGGGGCCGAGGCCGGGGCTGCCGCTGCCGGGCCGGGCGTCGTCCGGACTGGCGTCCGGGCTGCGGGGGCCGAGGGCGTGGCCGTGGCCGACGTCCATCGCACCCATTCGGCGGCTCGTCGCCTCCAACCGCCGAGCGCGTCGCCCTGCACAAATCACAAACAAAAATCGTAAACGCCCTTGGCCTAGCCTAGGCCTAGAGGGAACACGGTAGAACAATCTCCTGGAAATTGACCGCGATATTCCTGGGAATTCCAGGAGAAGAATTTACCGTGGACGCGTCCCGCGCCGCACGGGAAAATAGCTGCAAATTGGTCTGGCTCAAACACGCCCACTTGTTGCCCCTGTCGACGCCAATCTGTCCTCCACTTTCCTTCCCTTTCAACGGGTATTCTAGACACTCGACCCCCAACCCCCTTCCCTTTCCCTTTTCCCGCGGCCCGCCTTTAAGCATACTGGTATAATTGGGGGAGACAGCTAATGTGGCGCATCGCCGCCCGGACGCCCCCTCTCCCCTCCCCTCCCCTCCCCCTCCCCTCCCCTCCCCCTCCCGCTCCCCCTCCCCCCTCCCGGTCCTGCCAGGTTCCCCCTCGCTGTTGGCCGCACGCGGACCCCTGTGACGCGATATTCATTAGAAGCAGACTCGCGGACAGCTTATTTAAGCAATGGCTGGTGACGAGATGAATGCCACCACACTGTGGGAAAAAATCACAGTAAATCCTGTAGTGATTAGTACAGCTGTCACCGTAGTTCAGAGTACAGGATTTACTGTACTTTTTTAACAGGATCTACTGTACTTTGTACGGGATTTACTGTACCACAGGAGTAGAGTACGGAATATCCTGTACCAGGCACAGTAGATACTGTAGCCAGGCACGGTATATCCTGTGTTCTGAACTACAGTAAATCCCGGCAAAAAAATTAACGGGATTCACTGTGGTTTTTTCGCACAGTGCATGCGCTCGTACACACACGCGTTCCTCCGTGTGAGTGCATATCGGAACGAGGAGGAGGGGTAAGAGGGCGTTAACTGCGATTGTATTCATTATTTTGAGCGTTGTCGAACAGCTGTTGGATTTGTTTTGGCGGCAGTAGTGCAAATACGTGTAGGGAAATGCCAATGACTCATTGAAATGACGCTCAAGATTTTGGTTTTCCATTTCAGTTGATTTGGCGAAGGTTATAGGCCGTTCTAAGACATGACACGCCCTGCCCGGACACACGAGGTGGATGCTACGGGGAGGTCCGCGCGTCGTTACACAGTGGGCCAGAAGCCGGTGGAGGCGGCCAAAACTCTAGACGCGTTTTGAGCTCCAGAGTCGCTAAATGGGACTCGAACGGAACGTGTGACCCCACCAATGAATTGCTCTCCGAACGAGGAATCCATTGATGGGGTCACACGTTCGGTTCGAGTCCCATTTAGCGACTCTGGAGCTAAAAACGCGTCTAGAGTTTTGGCCGCCTCCGCCGGCGTCTGGCCCACTGTGCGTTATGGGATTGGCTCCCCAGCGACGGTGCTGTGACGCCGTGACGCCGTGACGCGAGGGTGTGACTTTATTTGTGACAGGTGAGCGCCAGAGGGACCACCTACCGCTCGGAAACGTGAGACACCAGGAAGAATAAAAAACAACAATAAAAACAATAAAATGAACGCAACATTTTGGGCGCCATTGCGGCGCGTTTCGAGAGTGTATTATTTGTTGCACTTTTTTGAAACGCACACACACACACACGCGTGCACACACACCTACACAATCAGAGGGCAGCTCGGCATCCCGCCTCGGCGGAGCCATGCCACGGCCATGCCACGGTCACACGTGGAGCATGCAAGATGACAAACTACCCGGCGGCGCCCCACCTGGTACCCCTCGTCCACCCCCTGCACTTTCACTGCCCCTTCCCGCCATCAACACGCCGCCTCCCTCCCCTCTCTTCCACCCCCACCCCCTCCCCCACCCCCTCCCGGCCGCAGCCGCGGCGTCTAATTGGCTGCGCCTCAATACTTGCGCTAATGCAGGTTTGTTCTACGGCGTCCTGACGCGGCCGCGGACACGGCCCGTCATCGCGCCATGAAACGACCACCGCTCACCTCAACGCGACCCCCCCCCCTTCCCCCGGTCCTAACTGGTCACTAATGGGGAATGAAATCGGACAGCCTGGCGTCCGCATCTGACGCCGCGAATTATTCGGCCGGGCAAACGACGATGTCGTCGCTCCTTCTCTCTCTGTCCCTCTAGGGCTCTGGGGCACTGCGAAGGGGTGCGAGAGAGACACGCAGAGCGGCGGGACGCGCTGCTGCGGGGAATCAGTCGCTCGAGGGGATGTTGAGCGCGCCCCGCCACGGCAGGCTGGCGAAATACACACCCCGCTAGTGTTGGCATGGCATGGCATGGCATGGCACGGCATGGCATGGCATGGCACGGCATGGCATGGCACGGCATGGCATGGCACGGCATGGCAGGGCATGGCAGGGCCAGGACGCCAGGACGACCTCACTCCTCACTGCCACCATCACCGTGGCGGAGGTGTAAACACGAGTAGGACGGGTTGCCTTCTGAGTGCTTCGTCCGAGGGGGAAACGACTTCAGTTATCCGATGTAACAGCAAATTGGTTATCCGCTATCCGGATAACCAGAAATTTCGAAGTAATCCGGGGAAATTCTGAGGTAATGCGGGGAAATCCGGCGTAATCCAATGGTAATCCTGGAAATTTTTCGATGTAATCCGGAGGTAATCCGCGGGTTATCCGAGGTTATCCCTATCCGATGTACACAAAATTTCTCAGTCGTTTCCCTCTCGGCTTCGTCGCCTGGGTTAATTCCGAGCAAAACGCCTCAAGGATGGTACGATGTTTGGAATAATTATTAGGCGTGAGAATAAGTGATTAGCGGGCAAGAAAAAGATAAAAATTCCACGGACGCTAGTGTAAATGAAGTAAATCTTCTCCTGAGTTATCAGATATGACATGTTGTATCGGGTGATTTGAATTGGCTCGCTTGCGGGTTGGCATCACAAAGCGTTCATCGGCCTGCATGGAAACCTGCCTGAGGTTGCCCCGGTTACCCCATGGGCGGATGTAACCCCCGTTGACCGCACTCGCCGTTTCACTGATTTCGGCGCTAAAATCACTCACCACGCTGCTGCAAGTTGCTTCAGGGCTTTCGCAGGCTTCGCAGGCTTCGCAGGCTTCGCAGGCTTCGCAGGCTTCGCAGGCTTCGCAGGCTTCGCAGGCCGCTCCCCGCCACTGTAATCCTTGAGTCACACACTCGGTGCACTTGGAGTCCCATGATGGGCGCGGGCAACCTCGCCGGCCGGCTCCTCGCAGAGTCCCTCACAGAGTCCCTCGGCGCCGCCCTTGCCTCCGGCCGGCGACTCCATACCATTCCACCACCGCCACCAGCATGCAGTCGAAACACTTCACCGCGCGTCCCGACACACCTGCATGACGACTAGCTTGAGCGGCACCACCACTCGCGGACCGCGGAAGGGACCTCGTGGGCTGGGCTGCTGCGCCGCTGCGCTCCCGGTCCTGCTCGCGGGGACACGACGGGACACCTTCGGGACGCCGCACCAGCCGGGCTGAGCCGGGCGCCTGGCTGACTGAGTGCTTCGGCCCCCGTGCCGTACCCCGCCGGGGCCCCGCGTGGTCCTGGGCCCCGCGGCCCCGCCGGGGAAGGGGTGGGGCCGGGGTGGGGCCGGGGTGGGCCTCGTCAAAGCATGACGAAGAGGCAAACCGAGCAAAGCGACTCGCAGTGTCGCGTCGGTGGTGCTGGAATGGCCCTGCAGACTCGCTCTGTCTCCCTCGTCCCCTACAGGTGCGAGAGAGACAGAGCGACGAAGACGACTCTCGAAGTCAGTCTGCTGCGATTTGGGATCAAAGGAAGTCTTCCCTTGATTCAGGCCGCCGTCGGTGTCGGTGATGACCAGCAGGGCTGCAGGCTTCACTTACTTGCAGCAGTGACCCTGTGACCCAGCCCACCGGCCCACCGGCCCACCGGTGCGCTGTCTAAACATGTGTGCGCACGCTTTAAAGTGCGTGCCTCAAGGCGCCGTTTGAAGTAAGCACACACGCACTTCTACTTCGTGTGTGTGTGTGTGTGCGTGTGTGTGTGTGTGACACCGTGTCTCCTCCCCAATTACAGTGGTGCTGCGCGTCTGCATTATCCATGGCAATAAGAGTTTCCTCTTTCCTCGCCCCTCAGCCTCCGGCCAGGCAGGCCACACTGCCTCACACTGACTGACTGACAGTCGCTAATTTTTATGGTGTGGGCCAAAGAAGCCAGCGCAGCCCGGCCCGATTCCCCACTCTATTTAATTCTAAAAATTGATCGGGAGCGAAAACCGAGAACGGGTGGATCAGCTTATGAAAGCCGAGTCGAGGCTGTAGCGTGGAGTCTAAAATTATGAAACACAAAACGTTGTCGGACTGTGCACGCAGTCGCACGTCGCTTCGTCGACACACGCACACAGGTGTAATCACTTGGCCAAACAAGCATCATACAGCCTAGCCATCCAACTGCCTCCTGGCTACTGGGCCTACTAGGCTTCAGTCGCACAAAAGAGGAGTCCTCAAAATGTAATTTCCTCCTGCGAAGGCCCAAAAAATCTCCCAAGCTGCGTTTTGTCAATGGACCGCGGGTTTCTGGACGCTGTCCGTTTGCAGGGTTTGTCGGTTTGTCGGTCTGTGGAACGCGTCACTGAAACCCGGGCGCAGGGGCAGCCCGAGCAGCCCCCACCAAACCCCACCCCACCCCACCCCACCCCACCCCACCCACCCACCCCACCCCACCCCACCCCACCCACCCCACCTGCCCCGCGCTGCCCCATGCTCGACGCGCTGCTCGGCCTGCTCGGCGCGGTGGCGCTGTGTCTTCCCTCCTATCACGATGGGGATCATCTTGGCCAAGAGGACACCCTCGTCATCCTCGGCGACTATCGCTGGCATCACCCTCCCCTGCCACGGCCCCTGCCCGCGCGGCCGCCACGCCGCCACGCGCCGACACATGTCAAAAGTCATGGTCTGGTTGACCCGCAGAAATAAACCGCAGGCCTCATCGCCAACGCTCATACGCGCTCACTTTTTTAGAGTCCCACGCCGCGCCACGCCGAAGAGGCACAGGTAGGGCGAGGGGTTTGTTCACCTCGAAGCCGTTCGCGAAGGGAAGATCATGCTCCGACCAGAGAAGAGAGAAGCAAAACAAGAAACATTTAGCTAGAAAACTGCAAATGGTCGACGTGGGCCCCCGCACTCCGCTGCTCGGGGAAGGAGGACGTAGCTCCGCTCATTACCGCTCTGCCTTGCTTTGCGGAAGACAAATCGGAAAAGGTCTAAATCGCAACGTAAACTTGGCGCCCCCCTCCCCTCCATCCACAGGTGAGCCAGCAGCTGATGAATAGCCGCTTTGTCTCGGCCCGAACCGCCGGCTGATTCCGAACACTGCTTTGTCGCTCTGTCTCTCTCGCACCCCTGGGGTGTGCCTCATGAGTGCGAGGGAGACAGAGCGACGACAGCAGCACTGTTTGGAATCAACCTGCCGGACGGACATGCCGTGGGACTCACGCCCGTGCCAGGACCGGACTAGGAGCGACGCGCCGCCGCGTGGCAGGCCGCCAGCCTCGTCCGGGAGTCTGGAGGGGTGCCTATCTGCCGGGCGCGCTGCGCCTCGCCCGCTACAAGTGCCACAGACGAGCGGATTGCCGCTCTTTCGAACCGAACTGTCGACTTGGACGACTGTAGCGCCTGTGAGGTAGGCCACCGATCCGGCACGCAACACACCGCTGTGGAGACGGTGGCCTACCCTGCTCGGCGTCTTCAGGGGCAAGGTAGGCCACCGTCTCACAGCGGTGTGTTGCGGGCCGGATCGGTGGCGCTACAGGCCTTCGACTACCTTCGACCAAGCGGTGCGCACGCGAGATGGTTGCCGAGCGGCTGCCACAGTCACAAAATCTGCTGTCACTCGGTCACTCTAACGCTGGCTGAAGCGGGCTGAAGACACTGGGCGTCCCGATTCCTCCTGAAGAACGGAGAGTCCTCATCGGCAACGAAAGATTCGTGCTCCGTGTTTGATTTTTATGTTTGTTTTCCCCCACGTACGAGGTCACCTTATTTGTGAAAGGGGCACAAGTCGTTGGACTCGGGGCCTCCGACTGACCTCCCTCCCCCCTTATCTAAGTCTCCGTCCTGCCGGCCGGCCCTGCCCCAAACCAACACGGTCCGGCCGGTCCGGCGCCGTGGGTGGCCGGCCGAGGCCCGGCCGCGCGGTCACCGCAGTCATCAGCAGCACCATGGAGGGCTTGGACATGTCGAGGTTCCGCGGCCGCGTCGCCGTGGTCACGGGGGCGGCGGGGGGCCTCGGCTCGGCCATCGCCGAGGACCTCGCGCTGTCCGGGATGCGCGTCGTGGCCGTGGACGTGGCCGAGGCCGCGCTGCAGGTGAGTGCACGACGTCGCGGAGCGTCCTGGACCTGGACCAGAAGGCCGTCGCTGCGGACTCAAGGCGGCGCTTGGTTGCTGCAGGCATTGGCGGTGCGGCTGGCCGACGCTGCTGCAGGTGCGGGCGGCGCGGTGCACCCCATGCAGGCCGACATCACGAAGGAGGCCGACCTCGACCGCGTGTTCAAGTGGGTCGACGAGAACCTCGGCGGCATCGCCGCCATCGTCAACAACGCCGGCATCGCGCCGATCAAGCCGTTCCTGGGTGTGTACACTGCGAGTTGTTGTCGATTTGTCTCGAGCTTTTTGGCGCGGGTGTTTGCTGGGCGGGGAGGAGGTTGATGCCGTCCCTCTGTTGCTGCACCAGACTCCGACATGACCACGATGGCGGCCACCATGAATACCAACGTCGTCGGCCTGGCCGCGGCCACCAAGAGGGCCATCAGCAGCATGCAGAAGCACGGAATCGATGACGGCCACGTCGTCAACATCGGCAGGTAGGTCGCAGGTCGTTGTACCTTCGAGTGCAAACGCGCCCCTTGTTTCAACCCTCATGCGCTTTGTCGTTGCAGCACCGTGGGACACGCCGAGTCCGTCTCCCGAGAGATCCTGGCCATGTTCCCCATGTCCATGTACATCGCCTCCAAGCACGCCGTCATCGGCTTCAACCGCGCGCTGCGTGCCGAGCTGAGGAACCAGGGCGTCAACGTGAGGGTGACGGTAAGGACTCGCCCTGCTGCTGGGGGAGCGTGGTGCGAATGCGTTTGGCTGCGAAATTCAAAGTCCCCTTTCTCCTTTGGTCATTCCCTCGCCCCCTCACTCTCAGCTGCTTCGCGTTGGGGAAGTAGGAGTGAACCCCACTTCCCTAAAAAAATGCCAGGTGTTGAAATATCGGCTAATGAAGTGTCGCACTCAGCACACCGCAAATTTTCTCAGCTCTCGGACAAACACTGACCACCCTAGTAAGTCGTAAGAACCGCAGATTTTCTCTCTTCCCGCGCGAGCTCTGTTTGCTCGCAAACAAATTACGCCGTTTACCACTCTAAAAAGTCCTAAGAACCGCAAATTTTCTCAGCTCTCGGACAAACACTGACCACCCTAGTAAGTCGTAAGAACCGCAGATTTTCTCTCTTCCCGCGCGAGCTCTGTTTGCTCGCAAACAAATTACGCCGTTTACCACTCTAAAAAGTCCTAAGAACCGCAAATTTTCTCAGCTCGCTTCGCTCGCACACGTTTACCACCAAGTAACCCTTAGAACCGCAAATTTTCTGAGCTCGCTTTAATTGCAAACAAATTACGTTTTCCACCCTAAAGCCCTAAGAACCGCAAATTTTCTCAGCTCGCTTCGCTCGCACACGTTAGAACCGCAAATTTTCTGAGCTCGCTTCGCTCGCTAACAATTTACATTTACCACCCTTTTAATACATTCAATCGTGTGTTAAAAATTGAAAAAGCACCTGCGGGACCCCCTGATAGGTAGGCAACCTTCAATGCAGACAAAAATTCCCCCCCCCCCCCTGGCGCGAGGAGGCGGCTACGGCCCTGGCACTTAGGCAACCCGTTCTTTATTTCGAACGCGTTTGACGTGACACATGGTTGTACTAAGAAGGCGAAATGCCGGTCACGTCAGATAATCCATCCACTTTTGTCTCCCTCCTCTCAGGACCTTTCCCCCGGGACTGTGCAGACCCCTCTGGTGCCGCAGCAGCAGCTGGAGAAGCTGGAGTACCGCGTCGTGCAGCCCGGAGACCTCTCCCGGGCCGTGCGCTTCGTCCTGTCCAGCCCGCCCAGCGTCGAGGTGTGTGGCTGGCTCTTACTGCCTCATGGCTGCCTCACTGTAGGGGCGTCATTTTGCAAATATGGTCCCTACCTGAAAATTTTGAGTACCGCATCCCAGGTTTTCATTCTGTTGTTTTTCGGTTTGTGTAGATTGTGCACCTAACTCTACAGCCAGCTGGCGAAGTTTGGTAATGGAATCAATTAGGTAAAGTGTCTACTTCTGTGCCGATGTTGAGTGGAATTTTGGTGCCTGACAAAAGTTTAAATTGTCCATTAAAAAAAGAAAGGTGGAAAATAAACAGTGACAGAAAATAAATTTTCATAAATTTAAACTTTTGTATTTGGTTTTAACTTTTCTATAGTGTTTTGAAGAACAATAATTACAAAAGGTTCTTACAAAGGTCCTGGAAATTTAAATAATAACACAATGTGCCTCAAACACTAATATTACATAACCATATGTACATTATAAATATTTAAAAAATAACACTAAAAGTAATGAAGAAGAAAAGAGGGAGGATACCTAGTTGTGTCTTGCACCAATGAAAGTCATATATACAAAGCTCAATGACTTAAAAGTATAACTACAACTGAAAGTGAGGAAAATCTGCTTCATGGAAGCTGTTTTGTGGGTTTCTTACGATAAAATGGAACAGATCCTAAGCAGCACAAAGGCACTCTGCCTCAAAAGTGAAAAAGAACAACATAAAACAGAAAACATTAAAACGTATGGGAAGAGTAACTCCTCAACCTCCCCTCTGCTTGTTGTACTGACTGGGCAGAGGAGGTTGTTCAAGATTTAACTGTACTTTAACAAAACAATACTGTGGTATGGAAATGTTTTCAACTATTTTTTTTTTTTTAAAGAAGAGTTCTGGTAAACCATGATGCTTTGCTTTACAAACTTTGGAGTTAAGGACACCTGGGTTGCATTAAAAAAATTAATCAGAAACAGAAGATTGTTTGACTAATGAACATTTACAAAAGAATGTGTTCTAAAAACATCTTTAAAAAATATTCACTACACCAAAGCATTAAATGATCCTACCCAGTAGTAATGATTCCATGGGGTGTCTCCTACAGTTTTTAAGGGAAGGCTTCTTCACATTGTGCTGTGTATAGCATACTCATCATATCACACTTTAGTCTAGCACGACGTTGCTCACTTAGACGTTTCATACTAGCTGCCATAGAAAGACAGAAATATAAATCCTCGTCCAAAGGTTTGTGGGCAAGCTCTTCAAGAAGAGACATCTCAACTCCTTCAGCCTTGTACAAGCGACTACCGCTGGGGCCACTAGAATTACTACTGTTATAGTAACTTGATCCTTCCGAAGCTGCATTCAGTGCTGCAAAAGAGAATTTTAAAGAAAGTTATTATGTTTTGCCACAAATAAATGTAGTTATTAGCTAAAACATCATTCCTATGAGCTGAATACTAAGCTTTCAGGAGAAAGAGTAAGTTAAGTTTGAACAGGTAACATATCAGTGAATAGAATGTAAGAAGACCTCAAACCCACCTGAAGAAATCATGCTTATTGCAGCATCTTGATGAGGGTGGCCATGGCTCGAAGCATGCTTCCTGTTCCTACGTCGTTTCGAATTTGAAATTGCACCAGGTCTGAAACAAAAAAGAACATGTAGGTAAGAGGATTCTACGTCTCAAACATGAAGATAAAGACAGGTTTAAACTAAAGGCTAGGTATAAACTAGCCTTTAGTTGTGGTGAAAGACTCTTACTCTCTGTTTGTCATAAAGGGAATAACAAATTCCATCTTCTTGTAATATCGCCAAGTTTTTCTGCAAGAGACTCCCATTTTGCCTTCTTGGCGTTTCAGAGCATCACGCAGGGAGTCTCGCAAGCGCTTCCACTGGTGTTTAGCTGATTTAGCTGCAATAAATTCTCATCAAGTATTAGGAATGACAAATTGACTAAAGTTAACTAAACAATCAAAAAACAAAAAACAAAAAACAAACAAGAAAAGAAACCAAAGGTGAGGTTATGACAATTCTTATGGAAATAGTACAACAAATCATTAATTAAGTTTAACTCACTGCTCATTCCAAGATCTGCGCTAATGCGAGTCCAAATTCTTGCTCGAATTTCTTTGTCAGAGTACTTTTCATTATTGAAATCATATAGAATGGGATACTTTTTAACTTCATTGATGAGGAGTACATTTACACCTTCGTCTGCATCCCCTAGTAAACTGTCTTCAATGTTCCCCAGAACTTGCTGAGGAGAAATAAATTCACCAGTTTTCCCTTCAAAATTCATTTTTCATTCTCAAAGCACGCACATCGCAAAATATGTAAACAAATAATGACAATGTCTGTCTGCTTGTATCCTCAAAACAACTGGGCTGTTGAGACAAATTGTTGCCAACATTCAGATAGTCGGTGCGAGCCTGCTTGGTGCCTACACTCGCAGGCCGCATGGGACGACACGACGCCACTATGCAACGGTGCGAGGAAGCTGTCCTCCATCTATCTATTCATCTTGCCGTGATCGGGGTGCTGTTATGATATTTGTGATCATGGCTGTGACAAGTGAGGTGGTAGCAGTGTCGGGTGCTCCTTCCCCCTCCCCCCCCCCCTTCTCCCGCCCCCGGGGGAGCGCCCGACGCCCCTATTGGGGTTCGAAGGCCCGACAGAGCGCAGCACCGTCGACCCCATTAAGTTGTCGCTTGTTGTCCAAGGGATTTGTAAATTCCTTCGCTAAGCATTTTACGCTATTACGCTTATCGGGGTTGAGTTTTTTATGCTCAAGTGAATTTTAGAGAGCTCAGACGACACATGTTTCGACATGTCAGCGATCTTTAGTCGGCGGCGTCGTCTGCTCTCCCATGCTCCCGACGATGTGACAGTACCGTGGACAATCTATTCTCGTAGTTCCAAGGGTGGCCACCACGCCTGGGCAGGCGGCGCTGAGCTTTGCCTTCGAACCCCTATCTGTGTGTCTCCAAGAAGAAACAGCCTTCTGCTTTGCTTTGCTCTTCCTGTCAGTCTACCGCTGTTTGCTGGTGTATTTATTCAGTGTTTACAAGAATCCAGTGCGTAAGTGAAACTAAACCGTGTGGTAACATGGGTAGGGCTGTAGGTGGACCGTGGACCCGTGGATGTCTTCCCTGTCTTCCCCGGCCACCCTGTCCGGTCCCCCATGAGAGAAAGCCCCCCCTCCCAATCACTCATGTTCCATCCCATTGTCAAGGTGTCATACCGAGCACCTTCTGCCCACCCCGTGTGGAACGCGATCGCAGATTGGGGTCTGAACAGTGTCATAATGGCACTACCCCACGACGACGTCAGTACGACCTCAGTCTGACGCCTCTCGTACGCCAGTGTGGCGATCGGGGCTAGTCTTTGTGGTCAGAGTCGGCGTCCAACTGGCGTCGTAATGCCGTCGCGCTGCCGTCGTCTTTGGGTCGCAAAAAAGTTCGTTTTTCGGACGCTAGTCAGACACCAGTACGACGTCGCTTTTTCAGCGCGAAAAATGTCGCGCGACCGTCAAAACAACCGGCTGGGAGTGTGTCGAACACAGAACTCCCGCGTCGAATGTCGGTGCCCGAACCCGCTGGGCCAGAGCGACTTCGTTGAGGGCGGGGGGACCGCAGCTCTAGTCTTCTTGACTCGACCCACCATGGCACGGGCCACAGAGTATTGACGCCAGAGTACTATTTCTTTCCGGCCATCGGATGCGGTACGCACGAGTTGAACCGATATCAAATACACATTTAACCTAGTTGTCATGCTCTGTAAATCTGTTGGCCGTAGGCTATCTGTAGTTGCTCGCTGCGAAAGAAACATAGCAAAAGAGATGCTGTACTCGTGGCCCGTGCCATGGTGGGTCGAGTCAAGAAGACTAGAGCTGCGGTCCCCCCGCCCTCAACGAAGTCGCTCTGGCCCAGCGGGTTCGGGCACCGACATTCGACGCGGGAGTTCTGTGTTCGACACACTCCCAGCCGGTTGTTTTGACGGTCGCGCGACATTTTTCGCGCTGAAAAAGCGACGTCGTACTGGTGTCTGACTAGCGTCCGAAAAACGAACTTTTTTGCGACCCAAAGACGACGGCAGCGCGACGGCATTACGACGCCAGTTGGACGCCGACTCTGACCACAAAGACTAGCCCCGATCGCCACACTGGCGTACGAGAGGCGTCAGACTGAGGTCGTACTGACGTCGTCGTGGGGTAGTGCCATTATGACACTGTTCAGACCCCAATCTGCGATCGCGTTCCACACGGGACCCAAGCGGCCCCGCAGCTCGGCTACCTACCTAGCTCAGCAAGCACCCCTCAGCAGTCACAACCCCAGCACTCCCCCGCATCCGTGTCACGACACGCACCCACGATCACCCCTTCCTCCATTTCTAGGGCATTCCCCTCCCCCCCCTTTTCCGAATAGGGAACGTCCGCACGCACTGAATCCTCCCTCGTCTCTCTTCACCAGTGCATTTCCGTCCGCTGTTCACCCTCTCCACCTTTTGCCGGTGTTAAAACCTGGGTGCCCCCCTCCCCCCCGGTGTGTGTGTGTCTGCGCGCGCGCGTGTGTGTGTGCGTGTCTCTCTGCCAAGGACACTAATAATTGCGCCAAAGTTACGGACGGCCATCGTCACTTCGCGGATCATTACCCACCATTCTGTTTTTTTGTTGAGTGAACTTCTTCATTGCGTCCTTGGTGCCTTCCCCACTCGCGCCAGTACGGCCCATGGCCCCTAGGCCCCCCCCTCTTCCCTAGCTTGTTCTAAAGGCCTTGCATCCAGCTGGCTGTGAGCCCCCCTCCCTTGATCCTCCCCATAAACATATAAACTATAAACAGACAAGGCAGCCGAAGGCAGCCAGAGCAAACATCGGCATGCTGCGTACAATCTTACTTTACTGCACCTCTCTCTTCGAGAAAAAAAATACTAGCATCCGCCCCTTATTCTGATGGGTAAAATGAAAAGAGACATCCCTCTAGGCTATGGCTTAACAGTCCTTCGGAATCAGTGCATGGCTGCTATGTTCAAATTGCGCGCTACTTCTTACAAGTTTCTCATACTCACACGCCCTTTATGAGCATTCCCTTCCTAGTATCGGTGGTTTTCTTTTTCTGGCCGAAACATATACAGCTTTTATTCGATTTTTGGCTTGGAATTCTGGAAAATAATTTGGTATGCCTTCGTTTGGTGTATAGAGATAAATGCGTTCGCCTTCAGTAGCCTTTAGGACTCTAGCCTTCAGTATCTGAGCGAGAAATTTGTCTTCTACAGGGCTGGAGAAGTGGGGGGGGGGGGGGGGGGGCTGAGACGGGTGGGGGTGGGCGGGGATGCTGACCGAATTGCCGAGTGGTCAAACAGGTACACAGCTGTCGCAGGTTTTGTGTTTTGCTTATTTCGGTCAATAAATCGCGATTAGTCATTTGAAGTGGCATGGTAGCACGTATGATTCTTTGTGTGTGCGAGTCGTTCAGAAGTCTGTGCGCATCTCCGTATTTTGACTATTTCTCGAAGCATCGTTTAATGTGTTCTGCTAGGCTTCCGAACAATTTGCTGTGTTTTGTTTACAAGTTGCCGATGCCTCATCGACTGTTGCACGTTTTTGCATCAAACAGAACACGTTTTGATGTGGCGGAATCCATTTTCCATCATTTGAAAGCAGAAAAATTGTTTTCCGTTTTTAAAAAACTTTTTTTTTTATTAGCATTTGGAAGCAATAGCATTCAGCATTCAGGTGTCATTAGTACACTGCAACATATTTTGAGTATCAATAGTTCATTCTATCAAAGAATATCTTTTCAACCTGTCAGAGTTTCTTTCTTTTATTACGAAGATGCTCTGGGAGGTTAGGAATGGATCTTTTATTTTCATTTCATATCACAAGATCAAATCGAAGATTTTACATTTTGGTAGATTAATACACTTTTCTTTTGGAAAAAAATGCCACGACAATTATTTTTGCCCTTTGCATTGTATTGTCGCAATTATTTGAATAGCTGTTGCTAAAATTCTTTCCGATCTCAATGTTTTTCAGATATGCTCTGATGCGTTCGCAAGCTTATAATGCATCAATGCATGAATGCATCAATTCGTGCCTTATAAAAATTTGGCTTGTTTCATGATTTGTATCGGCATCTGTTGTGTGAGTGAAATTTTAATCCAAACCAGTTTTCAGACCTAAATTTAGGAGCTAGTTAGGTTCTTATGTTCATATGCAACCCAGCTCTGCCTTTAATAGCTCTTGTTGTTTGTTTGTTTCAGAAGTCCTGTGGTTCAAAGCAACATGACAAAAAAACTTGAATTTGACTGGCACATTAAGGTGCCCAACGTGCTGGTAAATGGATGTGAATTTGATATGTGGACAGAAGAAGAGGGCTTGGAATCAAACTGCCTCTTTAAAGTAGACGAATACGGTTTTTTTATTAATTGGAAGAAAGAAGGCTGTGTGAGTGTAAATTTAATTCTTGTCGGTTGAAGCTCCAACAACTACTATGATTTATATTTAACTCTGTCTTGTGTATATTCAACTAGGATGGCGATGTTCTCGAGCTTTGCCAAGTCAGTGACATCAGGAAAGGAGGAATTTCAAAGGTGAGATCTTACTCATTTACAGTAATCATGATTTCTTATCTTACCAATCACAATTTAGGTTTTCATCCCTGGTTGCCAAGAGCGAATCAAACTAGCAACTAGTCAAAAATCAAGCCTAGAATCCTTGACTTTGTGCATTTTTACTCACATTCACCAATTAGAATGTAGGTCTTGAATTCTGTATGAATAATTATCTACTAGATTAGAGTCAATCTTGTTTGTATCTCTAGTTTAGCCTGTAGCACTTAAATAACCAGTCTTCTGATAGGGATTAGTCGGTCTTGTCTACCCTTTCGTAATTGTTGCATATGTCATCTCTGATACTAAGTCTAATGCATGTCCACCACTGTTTTAGGACTCAAAGCTCTATAGTCAAATGCAAACCAATTATGGAGACAGCACTTTTGAAGATAGAGTATTGACTATATGTAGTGGCAGAGATTATGTGAACATAAACTATCACCATGTGGTCTGTCCTGATAGTAAAACAGCAGAGGTAAGTTCTTTCATACTATGTTGCCTATTTTAATATGGTTTAACTGGAAAACAGCACTTAAAGTTTGATACCTTTCAAGAGTGGTCTTTTGGAAAAGAACAACAAAACAATGTCCCTCAGTTAAATTAAGAAATGGAATGTGTAGTCCTACCTGGGTTTGGTTTGTATATTGATTCAGAAAAAGAAAATACATCTCCGTGTTTTTGAGAAAAAAGGGAAGAAGGGAAATAGGTGTGGAATGAAGAGCAGTGAATTTTCATTCTTTCAGAATACCTAGATGATCCAAACACATGAATCAAAGTCATGTAGTTTTATTTACCAGGTTTTGTGAAAACTTCTCCCTTTTAGAGTCCATGTGTGAACTAAACAATTATGACTAAGTTGCACTATCTTTCATTACATGCCATTTCAGGATTGGCTAAAGGGTATCCGGCTCATAACTCACAATTTAAAAGCAAATAATGTTTGCCCAATGACATGTCTCAAGAAACAGTAAGTGGACCTCAACGAGGCTAAACTAAGACGCTTGCTTGACTTTGGCCATGCCATTTTTATCAGTTGGTATTTTTTACTGCCTGCTATTAAATTGGGTAATATTCTGTGGTTTAAATATGCATGACTCTAATTTCATTTGAGTTTTAATGTTTTACAGGTATAATTTTTAATTTGCTGTCACTTACTCACAATTAATCTACACCACTTAATCATAATACGTAATAATTAAACTGAAGATTTCGCACTTAGCATCCCTGTTTGAAACATTTCAAATGTATTTGGTTTAACTTTGCTGTTAATGTAAGATACTGGGTGGGTTAGACTTCTTATCAAGATTTTTGAGCTGGCAGCTGCTGCTTCCCTGTCAGCCTGTCTACCTTAGACTTTTGCCAGACTACAAGGACGGGCAGGGCACCAATTGCTCACATACAGGGACAATGTGAGACTTCCTTTTAGGCGGTGCGAAATCAAAGACGGGCAGGAGACCTGCTGCCTCTCCTTTTTTTGATCCCCCTTGTTGCTAAATGGACCCATTAATAATGTAAATGTAGAAATTATGGTGAGCCCTTCAAGCCACTGCAACTTATCTTGGCTATCAAATTTTGAAAACAGCAGAAAAGCTTCTAGGCTATGCTTCTTTTAATTGCACCACTTAACTAAAGACACATAATTAGAATGTAGTTAAGAGGCAGTTTTTATTTTATTTGGTTCTTCAGCACAGCACATTAAATTTTAGATACGTAGAAACGTCTGTTGAGGCATGTTTTATTTTGGTTCAAAATTTGAAACTTTTAGTCTCTGCAAGAGTGGTTTTGTAGTTCAACAATTTGTCACATTATGCCTGCTCTTGGACAGAGATTCCAGTGCATATAGGTTAAAGTTGAAACATTTGTGTGTAGCCGTTGACTTTTTTTATATTTGTTCAGGTCTAAATCTATTTTTCATTTTGCTTTTATTTTTCACCCCAAATGCTGTTTTTGCATGACTTTGCTTGACTGTGTCTGTTCCTTTTTTGTTGCGCTTGGGGATTGATATCAATCACAAGGAGTGGCAGAATGGCCTGCGCAAGATAACTCACAACAACAAAATGAACAACGTCTGTGTCTCTACAAACCTCATGAAGCAGTAAGTCTTAAATTAGCATGTCAATTGTCACCAACACATCTCTCTCATTCTATTTGAAACAAACCAGTACCATATCAATATGGTGTGTTCTTTTTCTCCACTTTCATGTACATTTCCAGATATTCTTCCGTCATTGATGTTTTGTTTATTGACACCATTTACTTAAGTGCATGAGGCATGTGTCCTTAATGTAAGAAATATTTTTTGCACGAAAGTAAATTTGGTTTCAGTATTTCCAATGTGCCTAATACAATTTAAAAAACTGTCTTAAAAATGTTTACTGTTTGAATGTTAAATGTTGTTTTCTGTTTTTGACTTTATGCACAGTGTGATGTTCAATGTTCTTTTACAGTTGGATGCAACTATGCATGAAAACTGACCCTCAAGGTAAAGTTCCAGTCAACAGAGTTGTCAAAACATTTGCCTCAGGTAAAAAAGACACAAAAGATATTATCAAATACTTAGATGATCTTGAGCTGCGAAACAAAACGGAGAAAGGAAAGGTCTGTAGTGAGGTTGATTACTGAAGTTACTTCAAAACGTTGTTTTCAGACTGCATAAAACTCTATGTTTATTTCTGTTACAGAATGATTTTATTGATTCTAAAGATTTCACTTTTGAAAAGTTTTACACACTTTATCATAAGATTTGTCCACGAACTGATGACATTGGTGATTTATTCTCTGCAATGTACGTAATATGCTTTGGATGTTTTTACATGAAAACAATTAGAGATGTAGTACTTGTATTTATTTTAAATTCTTACACAGTGCATCTGAGGACGAAGACTACATTACTGTAACAGAGTTCATAAAATTTTTAAATGAGAAGCAGAGAGATCCGCGCCTAAATGAGGTCCTATACCCAATGTACAACGAAGTACGTGCAATGCAAATTATCAGCACATATGAGCAAGATGAGAAAACTAAGAAATCAAGTATGTGCCAAATTCATCTGTATTATATTTTACTTTGATTATAATGTCTGAAATTTTGAATATTTCTTGTACTTTTAGAAAAGCTTTCTAAGGATGGTTTCACAAGATATCTTATGTCTGATGAGAATGCTCCTGTTTTCCTTGATCGCTTGGATGTTTACATGAATATGGATCAGCCCTTGCCTCATTATTACATAAACTCTTCCCACAACACCTACCTCACTGGAAGGCAGTTTTATGGCAAGTCTAGTGTAGAAATGTACAGACAAGTGTTGCTAGCAGGCTGCAGGCAAGTATTCTTCCTCCAAATTTTCGCTTGGTAAGAAGGTTTCATCTCTCACTATTTTGACTGGGCTTTTGCAGGTGCATTGAGCTTGATTGCTGGGATGGAGATGAAGAACCAATCATCACTCATGGAAAAGCAATGTGTACAGCAATTCCATTCAGGGTAAGAAGTCAGTGCATTAAAGCGGTAACTTCATTTTTGCTGTCGATAAAAAGTTTTCCTTCTTGCCTTTCTAGGAGGTCATTCATGCTATTAAGGACACTGCCTTTGAAACATCTGAGTATCCTGTCATCTTGTCTTTGGAAAATCACTGCAGGAAAGCTCAGCAATATATTTTAGCCAAATGTTGTGATGACATTTTTGGTGATCTCCTTTTGAAAGAACCTCTCAAAGATTACCCAGTATGTACTTACTCTCAAACCTAATGACTGATTTGAAACACTCATATTCTTTTTCTATGTATCCATCCATATCTACTTTTTAAAAAAATCTTTGTAGATTCAGCCTGGTGCCCCATTACCATCACCAAATGCATTGAAAAAGAAAATTCTTATCAAAAACAAACGTTTAGATCCAGAAAAAGAGAGAGAAGAAATGGAAAAGTTCAAGACTGGAAAACTGAATGATGATGATGGTGAAAAAGAGGATTCAGCTGCCCCATCTCCGACTGTCATATCCTTAGACAAGAAGGTAAATTTGATTTATATATTGGAGCAGTTATTGCACTTACCCTGGTATTGTAATAATGAATACTGTACTTTTGTTTAAAAAATTGTGCCGAAGTAAATTTATTTTTTTGAAATTAGCTGGGATCATGCATTTCTGTCGGATAAGTAATGTTCTTTTACAGCGGAAGATATTAGTGGCAAGCAAAAGATTGGATAAAGGTTCAGGTCAAGAAGACATTGACTTGTTTTTGAAAGGTGAACTAGTCTTAGTTGAAGGGGAAAAGGATAATATTTCTGTACCCTCAAACTCATCTATCGATAAGAAGGTGACCTTTTTATTCAGATTGTTTGATGCAGATTTTTCTACTCAGTTCAGTCATGCATGTGTTATTGTTGTACATCACCCCTTAGGCTTTAATGGGTGTATTACTCAATTTTTGCCTTCAAAGTATAAGCTTTTTTGTTTGTTGTTTTATTTCAGCCATGTAAGAATTGTGTTTTTTCTTCTGATTTTATCTGTAGTTAATTTTTATTTTGCCATGCTTTTTTCTTTAGAAAATAGGGACTGTATTCCTGCTTCCTCTCTTTCTTTCTTTATCCTCATCTTCATCGTCTTGATCACTATCATCACCATCACAAATGCCATCTCTCTCCCTCTCTCTTCTTAGTTTTTTTTTCTTTTTTCTGGAACTGGTCACTTTTTCATGTATAATTGCATATAGTTTATCATAAAAAAGTATTTGAATTTGATTCAAAACTCAATGAAATATTTTTGCATTGTTGATGTTAGGCATTGCATTCACACATCAGTTTTGCTCCTTACTGTATTGCGTAGTGTCATGCACACTTTGAGTTCTGAACAATATGTTAATTTGCATGCAGACACAGTAATCTCATGCCTAACGTTTCACTGGTTCCATGTTCAGGTGTCTGATGTTCTGGAAGGGGTGCCTCTTCCCACTCATTACACTGGTTCAACTACAAATGTCCACCCCTGGCTTTCATCAATGGTAAATTATACCCAACCAGTCAAATTCCAAGGATTTGATGTAGCTGAAAGTAAGTGTTATTTTTGTCAGTAGCATGTGTCTGCTAACTCCTGTCCTGGCCATGAACTACTTACTTTGCTGATATCAATTTATTAGCTGTTTCCATTTTTGTGCAGGCCCTGTGCTTTGTGCTATTCATTGTTGTTGTTATTTAATTGAAGTTTAACTTTTTCCAAGAACCTATGTATTATTATTTTAACATGCAAGCTTAAGAGTTGGTTTGGTCTTTTTTCCAGGAAACAAACTTCATTACAATATGTCCTCTTTCAATGAAAGCAATGGTTTATCCTACTTGAAGTCACAGGCCATTGATTTTGTACAGTACAACAAGCGCCAGATGAGCAGGATATATCCCAGAGGAACTCGCCTTGAATCCACGAATTTTTTGCCTCAGGTGCATAGTTTTAAACATTCATCGGTGTCCTCCCGTCCATATCTTTTAAGTGATATATTTGTTCACAACTGTCATTGGAACTTGATTAATTTTATCGTCTTGCTTCTAAGGTATTTTGGAATGCTGGGTGTCAAATGGTAGCTTTGAACTTCCAAACTCCTGATTTGGCAATGCAACTCAATCAAGGCAAATTTGAATACAATGGCAATTGTGGCTACCTCTTAAAGCCTGACTTTATGCGAAGAGAGGATAAAGTATTTGATCCATTTGCTGACACCACTGTTGATGGAGTTATAGCTGCTCAATGCTCTGTGCAGGCATGTTACCACTTTTCACTGTTCGTTTGTTTGAGGTTACAGTTTAGAGTTGAAAGTTAATTCTCTAATGTGCATTTTTTGTTTTTGGTGGATAAAAGGTTATATCAGGGCAGTTTCTTTCGGACAAGAAAGTTGGCACTTATGTTGAAGTTGATATGTATGGACTTCCTACTGACACTATTCGCAAAGAGTTCAAAACTCGTCTAGTTCCTTCTAATGGATTGAATCCTTGCTACAATGAGAGTCCTTTCTTCTTCCGTAAGGTAAAGTACTGGTCAATAAAGTAGATTAATGTTTCATATTGATTCTTGAGACTTATAAGGAATACATTTTTTAGGTTGTTCTTCCTGACCTTGCTGTGTTGAGGTTTGGAGTTTTTGATGAGACAGGTAAACTGCTAGGTCAAAGAATTCTCCCCTTAGATGGACTCCAAACTGGCTATCGCCATATTGCACTTCGAACTGAAGCCAACTTTCCCATGTCCCTTCCGATGCTCTTCTGCAATATACAACTCAAAATTTATGTTCCTACTGGTTATGAAGGTTAATATTTTTTTTGCCGATCTTTTTTATTTACTTGACTTCTTTCAAAGGAAAATTGCAGGTATCCCTTAAAAATTGTGGTTTTTTTTTTTCAGATATTATGTATGCCCTTTCTGATCCACTGAAGTACCAATCAGATCTTGATAAACGGTCCAAGATGATACAGCAGATGGGTGTCGATGACGATGACGATGACAAAGCCAACAGGTCTGGTGGAAGTGAAGAAGGGAGTGCATCAGGTGGTACAGTGAAGAAGGGAAGTAAATCTGGTGGAAAAGATGAAGCTGCAACACCTTCCAGCAGCACAAGGGAAATTGGAAAGCTAGTCAGCCGCAACAGCTCTGCTTTGGTTGCTGGTATTTCCCTCATGGATAAATCTGATGGTAATTGGTTTTATTTTTGCTAAATACTGATTTAGCTGAATGTTTTGTGCAAAATCATACCTCTTAAACTATAATAATTATTTTTTGTTTGAAATCTAACAGTGCATGAGGAACCGATCAAGTTAGCAACTCTGGAAAAGGAAAAGAGTTTCATTAAATTGCTTAAGAAAAACAAAAAAGAAGTTGATTCTTTGCAGCGAAAACACAGCAAGGAATTACAAGCAGTTCAGAAAGCTCAGTGCTTGGCTATTGAAAAGCTCACCAAAGGCAAAAGGTGTGTGTTGTTATTTTTTCCATTCCTTCCCTGCCAACCCCCTCCTCTATAATTTTTGTTTCTTTGGCTATGATTTCTGTCTGAAAGAGATGTGTTCTTTTGTAGCTTTGGTACTAAGGAGGAGTTAAGTTCAGATCCTCAGATTCATGAACTTGTTGTTGAACAAATCAAGCAATGGTCAGACATCAAAGAGAAGCATCGTAGCTCTTCCTGGGAATTAAAGAAGCAGCACCTTGTGCAGCAGCATGATGTTTTAAAAAGCTTACTTGAAACAGCTCTGGCAGCAAAAATAAAACAGCAAGAAGCTCACCATGAAAGGTTTGTAATGTTTTTAAATACTCAGAGACTGCTTGTGCTCTTTTCCATTAATTTTATGTTGTCCTCTCTTTTTTTATAGAGAAATAAAGCAACTAAATCAAAAGCAAGCAAAGATACTGGTTGAAACTACAAGAGAAGTCAATAATGATAAAACATTGAAAAGTAAAACAGAGAAAGATAGATGTGTCCGTGAAAAGAAACAAACAAACATTAAGAAATTCATGGAAGAAATAAAGCAACTAGAAACAATTTTGAACAAAAGGAAGGATGATTTGAAGTCCAAACTCTTGCGTGAAAAGCAAAGTATAATGAAAGAAGTGGAAGAGGTACGTAAAGTCCAAGGAAACTTTCAGCTGGTTTATGATTGACCAAATTTCACACTTTGCTCACTTTGGTTCTAGCGTGCTGATGCTCATAGAAGAGAGCAAATAGAATGTCAACTCACTCCAAAGAAAGAATTTTTCGCCTGATCACTGAATAGAACCCTAAATTATTGCCAAATAAGTAATATGTGTCAAATATTAACCGTCTGCCTGGGAATTCTGGGCACTCTCCTTTAATCATTGGTCTTTGTAAAAGCTCTTTATGAAGTAAAATTATGTTGTTATGCTAAAAGCACCAACAACCTTGACTTCACTTTCATCCTTATAAATTAAACTAGATTATGTGGCTCCTTTAAGTACCCTTTGTTGTGACTCAAAGAGGTAAGCTTAGTGCTTATTCTATGCTAAATACGCTTTTTATTTCTATGCATTATTATCTTTTTATGTCATCTAGAAAGCTAATAACTCTTGTTGTGAAATTGGTGATATTTGAGAATGTACTCTCTGTCTATTTTATGTCTTGGATTAACGTTACCATAATGATATTTCTATGGGACAAAATTTAGAAAAAGAAAAAAAGCACAAAGAAAAAATAATTGGAAACAATTGTATGTGATATACTATAATGTTTTTGATTGCTTGTTTGTTTAAGATTAATACAAATTGCTGATACTAATTCTCATAAATTGCCATGTTCAAAAAGATGTCTGTGTTTTGCTGTTTTTCAAAGTCTGTCACTTTGAAGAAGCACAAAGTCCAAAGCACTCAGTACATGTTCTCTTTATTGTGCCTTTATTAGTTTCAATTGCAACACGAAGAGATAATGATAGCTTGACAATAAGTGACTGGGAACATTATAGTTGATACATTATTATATACTTCATTATTATATGCTATGTGGGTGGCTATGAAGTGTCACTAGTCCATGTATTCCTTGACTTATAGTTTTTAAAAGAAATTGGTACATGAGTATGTGAGTTAATTATTTAAATAATTAATTCCATAACTGCTAGTCATGTTGATTTTATCCTATTTTCAACTGGTTGTTACTTTTATGTTGCTAGTTAATTCTGAGAAGTAACTGTATGAGGTGAAAGGCCTTTGCGGCTTGCTTTTGAGAGGCATATATTTTTGTGTGTGAAGATTCCATTAAACATTTACCATTCCTGTATATTCTTCACTGGTTGCTGTTGCACATACCTCATGAATTTAGGGAAGCTCTGTGAGACTGAGAAGGTGGTTGTGTTTCTAAGGAGAAAGGGTAACTGTGCAACAATACAATTTTGTTTCGGGTTATCTAGCCCAACTATAAAATAAAAATACGTAGTCAATGCTATGATGTAGGTATCACTGTGTTAAAAAAATTGCTAATCTCGGCCCCCTACAGAAATCTTCTCCAGCATTTGGTTCTGTTTGGCTGAAATTAAAGATAGAAGGGATCTCAGTTCAGACAAGCAGTCCTTTCAATGACAGAACTGGAAATTTTTGTTAACCTATATCATATCATTTAAAAATTTATTCAACTCAAAAGTGCATCCATCCTATGAAATCAGAGGAAAAAGGTTCACCTCAGGTTTCATTACATGTTACGTCCGGGAGGTGCGGAATGTTTCTGTCTGAAAGGCAAGTTTAATATCTTAAACTTAGCATTTCCGCTCTCTTCTAAACATCTGTAATAATTGGGAGCTTTAGACTAACGATATTGTTTTATAAATGATTCAATGTACAATACTCATTGTTATTGATAATATCATATTGTACCACATCAATATCTTGCCACTATCATGAATTTTAAGCCACCATAAGATGTTGGACAGAAAAAATTTAATTGAGATATGGTGCAAGATCCAGAGGTATGAATGTGAGTGGGTGTTCTCTTTTAAAAGTTACTAGTACATCACTAATTTCTTACAGCTCTTCTCATTAAGCTTTGCTTCCTACTATTAAAGCTTTTATTGTGATATTCCTTGTGCATTTGTGTAATTTGTAGAAGTTTGTGTCAGTGAGGAAAATTTGAAGGCATTGGACAGCATTCTGATGGATCTGGTTCAGAAACGATGCAGTTATACGTTTTGCCTCCGCTAAATTTAGGATTAACATATCTGCACACATACTTAAGTCAATTGGTCCTTATTACAAAATAAATGCTATTATGTGGCATGTACATTTGTTATTGTCTGTGAAAGTCAAGCTGCCTGGGAGTGCACCAGGAAAGTGAGCCTCTTGCCTGACTTACAGGAAAGTCAGCGAGGGTCAGGCTGTCTGCTCAAAATTGTGAAACTCAGGTATGCGATGTCAGAAAGGGGTCACTAATAAGGACTGTCTGTTGGTCCCTCTCAAAGAGTGTGGTGTGCATCACTTGTATTCATCACCTTCGACATTTTTCATTCCCTGCTAGTACCAACGGCAGATTCATTTACCTAGTCCCAGACATTTCTGTGTTGTGCTTACTACTTCTGATTGTGTCTTTCATGTAAATAATGTGATTTGTTGTTACAGTATTGCAATTTTAAAAAATAAATCAAAAGGTTTTGTGGAAATATATATTATTTTCTCTGTCAAGCTTAATATGTGGAAGAAAAATTGTGTACCAAGTCATTTGCGCTATGGTCCCACAAATAACTTACTTTTACAGGAATAAAATTATGAATAAACTGATAACAATTTGTTCACTACCCTCTCTAAAAATATACCATCCCAAATTATAACATACTGACAAGGTATCAAAAAAAGATCAGTCAAAGAGGAAGTCAGAAAATAATTAACTTCCAAATGATGCAAGCCCCGAGAGCCAAATAGCCTTGCTTTGAGATGCTTTCATTTCAAACACATGTCGATGTTTAAGAGGGCTCAACACCCGTTCCATCACCCAGTTCTGTTTTAAATTAGATTTGCTTATTTCTTCCTTTAGGATGGCACTTAACTTGTGCAGATGCCCTGGAAAAAAGCAAGGAACATTTATTGCCCACCTGCTTCATTTAAACAAAATGTCTTTTTTAATTTTAAATGTATGTCTTACCAGTACACCAAACGGCATCAATATCCATGTGTCCTCCCAGGGTGGGTAGCAGGGAGATAGCTCCACCAGATAAAATGTTAATGACACCACCTGGGATTTCAGCTACTTCTAAAAGTTGTGCTAGCTCCAATGCAGGGGTAGAGCGCTCAAGATCAGTAACCACTACGCAGACATTGCCATATGCAATGGCTGCACCAATGAGTGTTATAAGGTCTGCAAGGGCGCTGCAAGCAGTTGCTGTGCACACTACTCCAATAACACCAAGGGGTTCCCTCATCACAACAACAGGCAGGCCACCATTAGCGACCTGGCTGGTCGACTGGATAGCCTTGTCACATATAGCAGCAAAATGGAAGAGGAGATTGACACACTCATTCACTTCTTGCTCACACTTCTTCAAATCCAAATTCTGGTACAGAGTCTGGAGGCATCTGGTGAAAACAAATCAAATTTATTATTATTTATATCTTTTTACAAGAAAGGTTCATTATTTCAGGCATCTTTTCTACCTTGCAAAGTGACTCTCTCGAGCTTTCAGTTTCTCAGCCAAATTATAAATAATTTGGGCACGATTGTGGGACCCTCTTTTCCACCACCCCTGCCGGACTTTCACAGCAGCTTCCACAGCATTTCTAACATCCTTCCTGAAACACATTACAAAAGGAAGAGTATTATTAAAGATAATGCAATTATTTTCTTTTAAAAGAATAAGAAAGTGATAGAAATAATATTTTTAAAATTACCTGTTTGCCTCAGGGACCACTGCAATTGACTCTCCGTTTGCTCCAAGAACTGTTCTGTATGTATTTGAGTTTGGTCTCTTATGACCTCCTCCATAGAATAATTTGTAAGTTTGATCAACAGCAGATATTTCGGTTGCCGATGGTACTAAAGGGAGCAAACTTGTGGAGGCACTTGGGTAAGATTGAAGCAGGTAGGCTGTAGAATCGCTTGATGGCTTGAGAAATTCCAACAGACCTGATGATAATGAAAGTTGAATTTATAGAAATGCATGTATTTAAGTTGCACTCTGAAATGGTATTGAGAGTGTAAGACAATATTACCTTCTTTTCCAAGAAAGCTTCCACTCCCAGTGAAGTTCCGTCCGCTAATTGGAATGCTAGCATCCAAAAGTCCATGACTATTTATCCAGACAGTACTTGTCTAACAAATTGGCAAAGAAAGAAAAGATGCAGTCAACAAATTTAACTGACATTCAAGGTATAAATTTAAAAATATCAACAACCCAAAAACAAGTATGTACCTGCATTTGCAGTGCTGACTCCCAAGCAAATGCAGAACTCTCAGTCCAAATTGATGCAGCCATTCCACCACCGCAGTGGTTGGCAATGCCTACTGCCTCTTTGGCAGACCGGGCTGCAACAACATGTACAGCTGGGCACACATCAATCGCTCGAAGAACTGGCACAGATGGAGGAGCCGAAGAAAAGATGACAGTAGGTGCCCAGTCATCAGAATTTGAAGCAGATGGCTTCACAACCTGCCATCACATGAAAAAAATCAAGAAGTTCAGAAAGTATTTCTTATGCAGGGGTGAGAGCAAACAGAGGAACATTCTTAAGAATGACTAACTTACCTCAGAGCTTGGATCAATCGTTAACATTTCCTTAAGTTTTTTGCTAATGGAGCTGTCGGCCACACTATGGCTGACATCAGCCATCTTTTCAAAGGTGCTTCCTGTTTTCAATGATTTGATGCGTGCTGTCAGTTTAGACTTTAGGGCTGAATACACGGACTCTTGGACAATTAAAAGACGCAGTGCCCAGGGATCCTGGAAAAGGATAATTTGTTTAGAGAATTTTTCAATACAATTCGGAGCTGTGACAAAACTATTGCATACCTGTCCCTGGTTTATCCAAGCAGCATCGATCACACAGTCAACAACAGCATCAAGGTCTGCTGAATCTAGCACTATCATTGGAACACAACCATTGAGCACTGAAACACAACACATTAATTATCTTGTAACTTGATCTTAAAAATGAAATTAAGATACAGAGTAATGAGAGTTACATACACATCACATGATTTTGTTGCAGGTCTAAGGTGTTTGAAAAGATGCTACGGCCAAGGCAAGGTGAGCCAACCACAGCAACTTTTCTTACTTGGTTGTCATGAACAACTGGACAAAGCATTTCATCAGAATGGTCTTGTGGCACGACATTAATGACACCTGGAGGAACTCTGAAAATACAACATTGATTTTAATAAAATAACAACAAATGATTGATTCCAATTTTTTAAATATGTCTAAAGGGAAGCAAACACAAACCCTGATGCAGTGCATATGTGTGCAAGAAGAAGTGCTGACAAGCAATTGGACACATGCGGAAGAAGCGTGATCGTATTACCTGCCGCAAGGGCAGGAGCGATAATCATTGCTAAACTTGACAGTGGGGCACTGCCAGATGTGTATGCAGCAACAGGTCCTGAAATGGAACAACTTAAGAAAATAAGCTGTTACTAGATGGAAAGAATAAGGAAAGAGATAAATTTGAAACAAACCATGAGGTTTCCATTCTTTCAATTCAGTTTTGATGAGCTGGGCCCATCCTGCATAATAGTAAAATGTTCGGATGGCTGCTGGGACGTCTAACTCTCGAACATTGCCAACCTGAACACCTCGACTGAGTGCTTCCACTTCACAAAGGAGAGAAATGTGCTTTTGAAGTTGTCTTGCAATGCTACATAGCAAAACAAATGAAAAATATCAATAGCAAGATTCATTCCTGTACACTGTCTTCCCAGAAGAGATTACAGTTTGATTTCACTCACCTGTAAATTATACTTGCTCTCTCATGTCCATCGAGTTCTGCCCACTTTGAAAAAGCATTGGAAGAAGCTGACACAGATGCTGAATAGTCTTCATCTTTATCTAGCATGAAACACACAGAAAAATTGACACCTGTTGACACAAGAGTAGTTTTCTCTGACTGTGGAGAGCTCTTCATCTTGCCATTAATAAAAGGACCGAAATTTTCAACATTGTCCAATAACCAGGCCTGGAGGAAGATTTAAACATCTGTTAGAGAGTATTCGACAACCATTAAGAAACCATCGAAAGAAATGTAAACTAACCTCAGCCAAACTTTTTCCTTCAGAAACCGGTCCATATTCCATGCTGTCAAATATTTGTTGAATACTGGGTTTGCTGCCTGAATCTTTAGACATGGTTTTCAAAATATTGCTGTCACGAACTGCGATTGACAAAATGTCATAGGAGCAGACGATGTGTGGCCCTTGCCCTTGCCCTTATCACTTTCGTCTATTTACTGTGCCGCGATGAAGCAAGCAATCAGACCCCGCCTTCGGGTGAAAATGTGCCGAAGACACGCCAAGGTGTGCCTAATCCTAAGAGTCGATCAAACAAATACGCCACTAGATATGTCTGGCAGATAACAGGCATCAGCTGGTGCCGTGTTGCCGGCGGCGACGGTCCTTCTCTCTTTGTTTTGAACGGAAGGAAAGATAGGGGAGGGGAGGGGGCATCAGCGCTGGGAGGTACAGGGAGGGGAGGGGGAGAGTGGGAGGCGGGACGAGGGAGGGGGCTATTTATTTAAGATCGTTGTTTCTGATTTGCGGCAAGTGTTGGCAAATCCTATCTGGCTGTTTCTTGAAAATAGGTCCTGAATACGTGTGGGATCGAACTGTTGCTTCACGCCCTCGGATCTCGGCCTCGGCTGTGCCTGTCCCCTCCACAAACTACGAGCAGAGCTTAAATTTTAGGTCCCTAGAACGCTGGTCTCTCTCTAGTTCCAGATTTCTTAGGGTCGACTTCTAGAAAACCGATGCCTATAATATGCATATCCATTAAATCACGCCCCCTTGTTATATCGAAATATTTTGATATGGATCGCTCAAGAGGCCCACTTTGTTGCATTTCTTTGTGTCATAGGGGGAATGCCCAAGCTCAAACCTGCGACAGAAAATGTCGCTCTTGTCTAAAATTTTAATTTGATTCATTTGACTTTTTTCTTGGGGTTGATTCAATGAGAACGTTTCTCTGAGGGGCGAGCCAGCTGCACACTAACCTAGGGTAGGCAGAGGTAGAAGCAGACAACCCTTTGCCTCTCCTCTCTCTGTCCGATTCTGTCTGCCGTCTGATTCCGAACACTGCTTTGTCGCTCTGTCTCTCTCGCACCCCTACGGACCGCCCCATGAGTGCGAGAGAGACAGAGCGACGAAAGCAGTGCTCGGAATCAGACGGCTGATTCCGAGAGTGAGGTTCCGTCGGTCCGTCTGCCTTTCTCACATCCGCACGGGCCGCCGCCGCCCTTTGAGTGCGAGATAGAGATAGAGAGAGACCTCTCGGCACCAGTCTGCAGGCAGGCGTGCTTCGCAGTGCTTCGCGCTGGGATGAAGTATGGGGCGAGGCGGCGGGAGCGAGAGGGAAGGCTCGCAGCATCAGCGACAGCAGCGAAGCCGAAGCGAAGCTGAATGTGACACAACTTAGCTAAATTTAGAGCGAACGCGCCTCCGCTAGGCGGGGCGCCAGAGGCCGTGCCGTGGCGGTGCGTGGCGCGGCGTAGCGGAGCGCGCCGGACCAGACAGAAGTGGCCACGAAGTGCCCCGGCATGCTAGTGGCGGTGGCGGCGTGCGTGCGCGAATGTAAGCGCAGCGGCGAAGCGCTGTCTCTCCCGCCTGTGCTGTCCCGCCGTCCCGTCCCCCGTCCCGGGTCCCCGGTCCCCGCGCATCACGCCGAAGCCGCAGTGCGAGTGCGGCAGGCCGAGGCAGGCCGAGGCAGGCGGCCCGTCGTCACGAGGTTCTGGGGCCTTATGGTGGCGCGCGGCGTCGGCGGCGTCCACAGCAGCACGGAGGAGCGAGGGCGGGACGCGCCTCTCGTCGTCGGCGACCTGGCGACGGCATCGGTGGCAGCGGCATGTAGAGGGGACGGCGGGGCGGGGCGTGGCCGGCAGTCATGAGGACGGGGACGCCGATCCGGGAAACAAGAACAAGATCAAGCCCCAGCTGCAGCACGGGCTGGGCGGTGCGTCCGCAGCCGTAGGTGAGTTGGAGAGCGGCCCAGTTTCCGAGTCGTGCCACATATCGGCGAAAGAGTCGATCTTTATTTTTGGCCACTCTCTGATGCATTTTGGCGTCAGTGTGGCAAAGGGGCTTCTTTAGCCTTCCACGAAGTGCATTGCTGAGATAATGCGGGTACCATTAATTTAACCCACGTAGAGCAGTGAGGAAAAGGAGAGGGGGTCAGTGCTCCGACGACTTCGCCTCGGAGGCTGACAAAAGTATCTCTTCGTTCGCGCACTCATTTATCTACTCAAAATTTCAGTCATTCATTCGTTTACCGTTCACCTTCCTCTTAGTTTCTGCCGCAAAGTCCCATAGTTCAAGGGCTGATGCGACTTGACTTGAACGATTCGCCTTCTGGCCGATGCCTTCCTGGCCGATTGCAAAGAAATGCAAAACGCGCGCGACTGTGCTGAACTGACCACAGCGCGGTGCGAGACTTGACGAAACTCCGGCATGGCGGGTCCCGGAAAAGGGCGCGAAACGAGCTGGCGCGCGACCTAAATAGGATGCACTAATATTTGCGCGCCGCGGCGCGCCCTAGATCCCTTTGGCTTTAGGGTGGTCTGATGGCTGATGCGCGGCCCCCGCCTGTATATTTTGCCTTTCATGTGTGCAGATGAGCGCGGCGGCCTCGGCGGCCTTGCGATAGAGCGGCGCGGGGCGAGGCCATGACGGCGGTGTGCTGCGCGGGGCGGTGCTTGGGGTGCTGCGCGTCGCGGAAGGCCCTGGTGCGGTGCGCGCAGTGCCGCGCCGTGCTGCCGGTGCTGCTGGTGCTGCTGGGCGCGGGCTGGGCGGCGGCCTGGGCCGGCTCCTGGTCGGGCTGGGTGTTCCTGGGCGCGGCGCTGGGCGGCGTGCTGCAGGACGTACTCGGGCGCCGCGTCGTGGTCGCCCTGTCCGCGCCGCTGCAGGTGTCGGCCTGCCTGCTGCAGGGCCTGCTCGTCGGCGATGATCGAGGCTTCTCGTACGCCAGGCTGGCGCGGTCGGCGTGCGCCGGCGTGGGCCTGGGCATGGCGCTGCCCGCCTCCCTGATGTACTTCGCCGAGCTGTGGCGGCCGGCGAAACGCGGCGCGGTGTGCTGCGTGCCCACCCTGGCCGTGGTGCTGGGCCGTGGGATGGCCTTCGCCCTGGAGCACCGCAAGGTGCTGGAGCCCGGCGACGCCGCCCTGGTGGGGTTGGCGCCGGCCTTGCTGGGACTGCTGCTGTTGCTGCTGCTCGCGCCGCCCTCGCCCTACTGGCTCGCCCTGCGCGGCAGGGAGGTGTCGCTGGGGAGGGCGCTGGCCAGGTAAGGCCAAGGCCGGCCATGGCGCCGAGGCCTATCTCGTGACTACACTTTAAAGTTGGCATGTCCTGAAACTGGGCGCCTTTGTCACCCGGCCCTCTTTATAGGGCGCCAAATGTCATCCAGTTTCAGGGCACCTTTGTCGCCTAGTCTCGGGGTGGACAAACCATTAAGGAACCTGCTTTCACCCAGGGCTCAGCAGCGCCTAAGGTGTCAAAGGTGTCCAGAATGTGGGCACCTTGGTCACCCAGAAACTAGGCACCTGTGCATGCTCTACCATAGGGGAGGGCCGAAACTGGGCGACAAAGGTGCCCAGAAACTGGACGACGTTTGGCGCCCTAAAAAGTGGTTTAAGGTTTAAGGTTTAAGGATGGACGTTCAACCAACGGCTCTGTCAAGCATGAGCCTCTCACTGTTACTTAGTGAGGGGGGCGTGCGACAAAAGGCACCCAGTTTCAGGGCATGCCAACTTGAGGGTGTGCTTTCGTCTTGCTTCGAGTGCAGTGCCTCACGACCTCTCCTTTGCAGGCTGCGCGGCCTGCGCGACGAGCGCGGCGCGCGGGACGAGGCGGACGACGTGGTGGACACGGTGCGGGAGCAGCGGTCCGGCGTGTGCGCGGGCAACGTGCGCGGCCCGGTGCTGGCCGTGCTGCTGCTGGGCACGCTGCCGCTGGCCGGCGTCGAGCTCTCCGAGGGCCACTTCCCCCTCCTGCTGGAGCGCCTGGGCGTGGACTTTACCGGAAGCGCGTACGCGGCGTGGCTGGTGCGCGTCTCGTGCTCCGCCGGCGTCCTGGGCGTGCTCATCCTCGTCACCGCCCTGGTGGACGTGTGCGGCCGCCGGCCCCTGGTGGTGGCGGCATGCGTGGCGCTGGCCGCGGGCTACTCCACGCTAGGGTACTTCTACTGGTTCCTGGGAGTGCCGCTGCCGGCGCGCGCCTGGCTGGCGCAGTACATCACCGTGGGCGCGGGGGCCTTGGTGGCGGTGGGGGCCGCCGCCCTCACGGCGCTGGCGTGGGTGGTCGTCGCCGAGGTGCTGCCCATGCGCGCCAAGGCGTGGCTGCCCGCCCTCGCCGTGCTGGTCTACGCCGCCTGCCGCACGGCCACCGAAGCCGCCTACGTGATGGTGCCCATGTTGGTGCGCGAGGCTGCCGACAACCGCGGCAGGTACTTCCTGGCCTCCTGCTGCTACGGCCACGCCCTCTGGGCCCTCGTCCTCGCCGCCGTCATGGGCGGCCTGCTGCCGGAGACCAACGGCTTCACTCTGGCCCAGCTGCACGAAATCTTCAGAGGGCCCAACCGCCAGACGCTGCAAACCCGTCTGTGAGCACCGCGCACCACGAACTGCCGAGTGATTTCAAAGGACCTTGTGATTTTTGGGCGGTCCCGAGGACATGCTTCGATCTAGTCAGAGTCAGAGTCCGGGTATAAGATTCGGCCGTTCAGTTCGTAATTTATTGTATTTTTTTTCTAGTTCTCCACGTTTTGTTATATTGTCAGCGATGTTTTATGTATGATTTTTACGAAAATAAAAAGATTTATTTCTAGAAAGATCAGAATACTTTTTCATTGAAACTAACTACTGAATTTCAGCTGGAATCGATCAGGTGAACGCAATTCGCTGTAAAACGTGACGCACAGCCTGGAGGGTAGGCAGTCCCGCAATGCACTCAAGGTTGGCGGGTCTGCCTACCCTCGAGTTCGCAGGCGCTAGGTCATCCTCAAAGTTGGCAGTCCCGCACTGCACTCAAGGTTGGCGGGTCTGCCTACCCTCGAGTTCGCAGGCGCTAGGTCATCCTCAGGGTAGGCAGTCCCGCAATGCACTCGAGGTTGGCGGGTCTGCCTACCCTCGAGTTCGCAGGCGCTAGGTCATCCTCCAAGTTGGCAGTCCCGCAATGCACTCAAGGTTGGCGGGTCTGCCTACCCTCGAGTTCGCAGGCGCTAGGTCATCCTCAAGGTAGGCAGTCCCGCAATGCACTCAAGGTTGGCGGGTCTGCCTACCCTCGAGTTCGCAGGCGCTAGGTCATCCTCAAGGTAGGCAGTCCCGCACTGCACTCAAGGTTGGCGGGTCTGCCTACCCTCGAGTTCGCAGGCGCTAGGTCATCCTCAAGGTAGGCAGTCCCGCAATGCACTCAAGGTTGGCGGGTCTGCCTACCCTCGAGTTCGCAGGCGCTAGGTCATAGGCCCGTGGTTTTCAACCTCGGGGTGGAGACCTCATTTAGGATCGCGGAAATATATTTTTGGGCCCCGGCTTCGTGCCTGGGTAGGAGGACAGGACGCGGACACGTGGACGATTGCCGGGAGGGGAAAATCTTGCTGCAAACCGGAACCAAAAACCGAGGGGGCCACCACCCCCGTAATCCTGTGTACAAATTGGCTGGTAATCTCTGGTAATCCATGGCGTAATCACGTAATCCTTGACAAAATTCTGTCATTTTTCAACGTTTTTAGTCATTTTTCAACGTTTCTGAGCTATTTTTCAACGGTTTCGAACCAATTTTCGAAAATTTCACGCGTAATCCCTGGTAAATATCCCGTAATCCCGTAATCTTGTGTACGCCTGAAATGAGAGTGGTGGCCCCCTCGCCAAAAACCCTTCCATTCAATCGGTCTTGTCTCAATCTTGACGCGTCCGCCGTGAGATAGGCCGCCCAGTTTGCGTCTGGGTGCGTCGCAGTGCGGCGCAGTGCGGCGCGCCGCGGCAGCGAGGCAACCCATTCGCCACGGAATGGTAGAGTCTGCCAGTCGCCTCGCCTCATTCCACGCACAGTGGGCCAGAAGACCAGTGGATGCGGCCAAAACTCCAGACGCGCTTCGAGCTCCAGAGTCGCTAAATAGGACTCGAACCGAACGTGTGACCCCATCAATGGATTGCTCTCCGAACGAGGAATCCATTGGTGGGATCACACGTTCGATTCGAGTCCAGCTTAGCGACTCTGGAGCTCAAAACGCGTCTAGAGTTTTGGCCGCCTCCACCGGTCTTCTGGCCCACTGTGCCACGCATCGCTCTCTCGCACTCATCCCTCATGTCAGAGAGATCACACGGCCAGAATTTGCCGGAATTGAGCTGCTCCTCTCTGGCAGTAGAGTTGAGGAGGACAGAGGCGGGGGACGGGGAGCAGGGGTGTCTTTCAGGAAAGGCTGAAGGTGCTGCTGCGTCTGCTCGTCAACCGTCGAGCTATTTTGCGCGCATCATTTGAGTGCGTACTGGCGGCCCGAAAGCCCGAAAACAAACCCACACGCCGAACGCAGGTAAAGTGCACCACTCCGACCCCCGCCACCATCATCAGCGCTGTTTGGACCCCAGCAGGCCTTTTAGCCTTCGAGTAAGCAGCCACCACAAACACAGGGCTCACACTGCGAAGCCCACATGCGCCCACACGCAGGCAGCGTCTTGATGGCGACTCCCACGGATTCGAGAAAATGCGACTCGATGCGACTCGCAGCGTGCATGGCCGCCGAAGTTCCTTGTCCCTCCTCATACGGTTAAGTGCCCACTTTTTGTCGTGTCACCCCTGTTTCTATTTTTGACCTTGACCTTGCCGCTGGATCATGAAATGGCCGACGGAAAACGCTCCGAAGACCTCTGCGATCGCTGTCCGCGTGGTCCGCGTCTTTCGCTGGGCTGGAACACACTGGAAAGGAGGAGTACGAAGCGGCAGCACCAGCCGGGCCCACAGTGGGCCAGAAGACGGCTCGCGGCGGCCAAAACTCGAGAGACGCGTTTTGAGCTCCAGAGTCGCTAAATGAGATTCAAATCGAACGTGTGACCCCACCAATGGATTGCTCTCCGAACGAGGGATCCATTGATGGGGTCACACGTTTGGTACGAGTCCCATTAGGCGACTCTGGAGATCAAAACGTGCCCGGAGTTTTGGCCGCCACCACCGGTCTTCTGGCCCACTGTGGGGCCGGGGGACACTCGGCACTCGGTTTCAACTTCCCCGACTCGCCCGATCGGCTTCGTGACTCACAGTCACACTCACGTTGTCATCGCTCTGTCTCTCTCGCACCCACACGCGACGCCCCATGAGTGCGAGAGCGACAGAGCGACGAAGACGTCTCTCGGAGTCGGTCTGCTGATCCGGCTTTGAGCGCCGCGGAGGAGGTTGGGGAACGCAGGAGTCAGGAGCGAGGCAAGAGGCAGGCGGCAGCCGCGCGGCATGGACCCCGGGGGGGGGGGGGGGGACTCCTCCTCCTCCTCGCCACTTTGCTGAATTTGCTTACAGGTGGCGCGAAGCTTGCCTGTGTTTTCGCCGGCCTTCCACGGGCAGGAATCTAGAAGCACGCGTGCACTAGTTGAGCGACACCGCCGCGCCTGCGACCCCTCGCCTGGCAGTGCCTGGCAGCAGCTGCGGGGATCGGTGATCCGCGTCTCGGAATAAATGCTTGATGCTTGTTTACGTATGCAGAGCGAACAGTCATCACCGCTCAGACAGATCGGGCATGGAGAAGGAAAAGAAGGGTATTTGTCTTTTTTGTGGGGTTGAGGGTTGGAGATGAATGATTGATTGGTGAATGAATGATGAATGTTTGGTAAAACCAGAGGCGCTCTTTGCTGCTTTTCTTGACAACGGGGGCCCGTTATGAAGGGGTCGGTCGAACTGGTGGGGGTGGGGGTAGTGGGGTGGGGTGCCGCCAGTGGAAGGGGAGTGGGGGCTGGAGCGCTGCGACTCACACTGCGACGCTACGGCGGAGCGCGGCGGGCGGCGCGGAGTGTGGCCTTGCGCTGCGGACTGGCGGACTGGCGGACTGGGCCTTGCAAGCGGCGCGGTGGGGCGCGGCGCGGACCTGTGGGTCCTGCTGGTTCCGACGGGACGGCACTGCCACGGCACCTTGCAGACCCGCGCTTGGTGCCGGCACAGCACGGTCTACCTCGGCAGCGCGCGGTCCGCAGCGAGCACCAGGACGACGACGTCGACGCGCGGGAACACGACGGCGAGGACCAGGACGACTTCGAACCCAGGACCACCGCGGTGAAGACCAGGACGACGTCGACGCGCGCTGACGCGCCGCAGCATGGTCCAGCACCGCGTGGCCCGCCACCGTTGAGTTCGGTGGACAAAGACCCGGCCGGGTCGTCCATCATCGTCCAGGCCCGGACCGCGCCACCGCGTCACCGCCACGGGGCCACGTGCCGCGCTGGCCTTGCCAAGCCGGCGAGGGACTCCCCGTTGCTCTCCAGCGCGCCAGGCCGGCCCGGCCGGCGAGGCCCTGCCCGTCCAGGCGGCGTGCCGCGAAGGCCGCGAAGGCCGCGAAGCCCCGCGGACTCCACGACGGCGGCGAATCCTTATCGATAACGCGGCGGCACACTGTGGAGCGCCAAGCGTTTCACATTGGATCCGCGGAGGATGCCGAAGGCGGGTCGCTGATGGGAGTGGCGGCGGAGGCGCCTGCTGCCGGCACTGCCGGCGCGACCATCACCGAGACGAGGACGACGAGGACGTGCAGTGAGGCGGCGGGGTACGCCTAGTGATTCGCGAGTGATCCATCCAAGTGGCCCCAGCCTCCCGGCGTTCGTCTCTCCCTCTCTCTCACTCTTGCTCTCGGGACGGCAGCAACATGGCCGACGACGAGTAAGTAATCGCATTTTTACGCGTGCGACTTGCGCGCGGTACAGCGGCCTTATTCTGCTGAGTGGGCTCCCAGTCGCTCCTGGCGGCGGGGGTGCGAAAGGGATAGACTGCTCACGCCTCCCTCGCACCCACAGGGAAGGGCCCTGGAAGCGTGTGGGCACACTGTAGAACCATTGTGTGCTGCGGCGAGTACGGTGACTGCAGTGCGTGGGCGGATGGGGCGGATTTCCGGTGACATAAGCGAGGGATTGTCCTGCAGACTGATTCCGCGCGGCGCGACGTCGCTCCGTCTTTCTCGCACCTCTACGGGACGTGCGGGACGCCGGACGAGCGCGAGAGAGACAGAGCGCCGGTTCGGGATCACTCGGCTGGCTCTGCGGCCACGCCAGGCTACGCCCACGGCCCACAGTGGGCCGGAAGACCGGTGGCGGCGGCCAAAATTCTAGACGCGTATCGAGCACCAGAGTCGCTAGAAAGGACTCGAGCCGGGCGAGTGACCCCACCAATGGATTCCTCGTTCGGAGAGCAATCCATTGGTGGGGTCACACGTTCGGTTCGAGTCCCATTTAGCGACTCTGGAGCTCAAAACGCGTCTAGAATTTTGGCCGCCTCCACCGGTCTTCTGGCCCACTGTGCGGCCGTCCTGGCTTCCCGGCCGGACCGCGCAGTTTGCGCATCCTCGCCGCCAGCAGAGCAGCACGTCCATGGGACTGCCTGGGCGACGGTAAGGTGCCGGCGGCCCGGCGAGCCCAGGTGTAAGGAGATACCCGCTAATCTTCGCCGAAGACTGATTCCGAGAGTCGTGTCCGTTGCTCTGTCTTTGTCGCACCGATACGGAACGCCCCATGAGTGCGAGAGAGAAAGAGCGACCAAAACGACTCCCGGAATCAGTCTGCTGGCCGGCAGTGGCGGAAGCGAGCGGGACTGCTTGGCTGCACTCGGAACGACTCGCAATCCAGCGGCACCGCGTGGTGCCCCTGCGAATGGCACATGACTGCAGCCTCTCGTCGCTCCGTCTCTCTCGCACTCTTACGGGACGCCCCATGAGTGCGAGGGAGACAGAGCGACGACGCCACTGTTCAAAATGAAACGGCGGTGCATGCCGCCAGTCACTTTCCGAAGATTGCAAAGCAGCTCGTCGCACCTGTGGTGAATCGCGCTTCGTCGCCGTGTCCCTCTCGCACCACTTCAAGTAGTGTGAGTGGGAGGGAGGCAGACCTGCGTCACGCACTTGTGCCGGCGGCACGCGCCGACGAGCCCACTCTTGCGCTTGCAGTGTGCAGTCCCGATCGGTGGCCTTGGCGGCCAAACCGTAACAAAGTTCGGGGTTCGGGGGCAGTAAAACTGTTCGTCACCTTGTCGCGATTAGATAGATATACAGTGTACGCGCGGCCCGGTGCGGCCGGCCTCGCTCTGTATGGAAAAGTGTCATTTGGCGTGCAAACGGGAATTGAAGCGGGTTTGTGGGGCCATCGGGGGCGCTTTACGACGAGCAAGAGTCTAGCGTCTGGCTCGACGCCTGGCCGAGAGTGTGAAATAGGTTATGAGATCTCGTGCGTCTCTTCCTGTTGGAGTGATGCTCTGATCACTCCTCTCGCCCTTGGGCGCGAGCTCGAGGCCCAGCCGGGCCCGCTCACCCCACTGTCAAATTTGAATAAGCTAGTGTCCACCGGTGCCGTCGCCGAAACCCGAGAGGCTTTCCCTAAGCCATCCCTTGCCGATAACGGCGAACCAGTGGCCAGGGCTCTCGGGGCTCTGCGGACTGGCGGCACTGAGGGCCTCGTGGCGCCGCCTCTCTCGCACCGACACGGGACGCCCCGCGACTGCGAGAGAGACATAGACATACGTGGACGTGGAATCAGTCGTCTAGGGGCAAGTCAAGCCAAAGCCCCCGCTCGCGGTCTGCCTCAAGGCTGGCGTGCCGTGCAGTTATCCCTGCAGTGTGTCGGCATTGGCCTCGGCTACTAGGCCGTGGGGCTGACGGCCAGGACCAACATTGGCACGGCGTGCAGGACTGCGCCCGTTGGTGCCCGTTTGCCTTCCCGCCACAGTCGCGGCCACCGCTCATTCATTACTTCCAACAGATAGATTAAATTGAAACTATAAGTTTGGTGGGCCTTTTCTGGCACTATTGGTGTTTCTCTGCTTCACGACTTCTAAGTCACGTTTTTTCCCTGAATATGGCAAACTACTGTACAAGGCTGTGTACGGTGAACTGAACTCCGATGGGAACATGCTCGCCACTGGGTGTGTACTCTCGCGCAGCCAGGTGTGTTCTCGCATACGAACATACACCGCGTACACTGGTAACCAGCGAATGTGACGTCATATTCGTTCGAATGTGAATTTTGTCACGTCCGTTTGAAAATGATGTCACATTCGTTTGAATGGTGATTCACGCTCAAATGAATGTGACACCCCACTTTTAAACGGCCGAGTCACGTTGAAACGAATGTGACGTCTTCTTCGAACGAACGTGACAAAATTCACACTGCAACGAATATGACGTCACATTCGTCAGCTACCAGTGTATAAGGGAAGTTGCCAAAATTGTGGGTCCTTTTGTGTCTTTAGGCCACAGTTTCCTTATTTTTCGACGTATCGAGCCGAGGGGTGGCCGACTTCGATGTTCCTCGTACATCGGTCAAATGTTCCGAAAAATGTTCCCTGATGTTCCCAATGTTCTCATGTTCCCAGTATTCCTCGATGTTCCAAAATGTTCCTTAATGTTCCAAAATGTTCCTTAATGTTCCAAAATGTTCCTTAATGTTCCAAAATGTTCCTTGTGTTCCTCTGGTTTATTATATCTTTTTTAGCCTGTCCCGTGTCAGGATGGTCGGATGCACACTCTCATTCGTAGTGCGAGACATCCGGTTGAAACTATGTCAGGGTCGTTTGAGCATTGAGTCACATTCTTTTTGGATGTGAATCGGCCAAAAATTACCTTGTTCACATCCAAACGAATGTGACAATGCCACATTTTGTCACGTTCGTTTTAACGTGATGTCACGTACTTGGAACGAGAGTGCATGGTGTGTGTGTGTGTGTGTTTTTTTTTTCGCGCGCGCGTACGTACGTAAAAGGGGGAAGGGGGGAATTGCCGCCGTCCGATCTACTCCAAATTTGGTGTGTTTGGACGACCAAAAGAACTACCCTGAGTCGGCTTTTTCGATCCGAGGCCCAGGGGGACTGCTGCAGGTCCGTCATGGTCTACGGGCAAAGTAGGATCCCCTTACAAAGCTAGAATAGCAAAAGAGGGGTGTTTTTGGAAACAGGGCAAGGTCCAAACCGGCCACTTGAGTCAATCGAAGAAGTTTGGACCCAGGTTCGACTTTAGTGTGGTCAGACTATCCGACAATCAGATTTGCAGTTTGGCTTAGAAGACAGAATTCGATAGCGATATCAAGTAGAATCTATTCTTTGCATTGCATTCGACAGCAATAGAGGTACTCTGGAGATGTTCCCTTAATATTCTCAGATGTTCCCAGATGTTCCTTGATGTTCCTTGATGTTCCCGAATGTTCCCAAAAGTTCCAACATATTTCCAGATAATTCCAAATGTTCCCCGATGTTCCTGATGATTCCGATGTTCCCCCTATTCCGAGATGTTCCGAAATGTTCCCAAAATTGGAACATGTTCCAACATGTTCCGTCCGGAACATGTTCCTCGTACAGAAATTTCTGGAGTCGGCCACCCCTCGTATCGAGCTGCGGTTTGATTCCCATGACTGTGCTTCATCCCCCCTGCTATCCCACCCAATCGAGCATGCAGTTCAAGCTTTTCCCCCCTTCAAAACAAGCAAAAACTGGGCAAAATGTAACTTCCGTGCTGTCCATTGTCCAAAAAGTCCGTGTTCACAGGCGAAAATCTCCTGAACTATTCGCCCGGAGAGCAAATCCGCGAACTGCCTTTTGTTCCTTTTGGCAATCTTTTATGACACCCTTAGACAGCAATTTTTTCCGGTGACTCACACCCCCTGCTTTATTGGATGAAAAAATGTCCACCGTGTGAGGGTTTTCAAACTTGTCAACTTATTTCGCGCCTCAGCGCCGAACCTGTAGCGGAAAAGTTCGGCTCAGCGCCCAGAATGAGCAGCGCGGTTTCCTCTTTCTGGCGCAGTACGCGGTTTCCGCTGGGGGGGTCCTTCCGGCTGGCGGGGACCGTAAAAGGTAAAATCCGGCATGTGTCAGGTTGTGTGTAACATTCCGTGTCATCAACAGCAAGCGTGCTACTCGGCCTATCGATTTCGGTCCACCTGGCCATTTTGCGCTTTCACGTCTTTTAAACTTTAAGCGAGACACCTGTGCGATTTAGTGAACGGGTTGGTCCTTTTCCCCGGGGTTTTGTTTGATGATGTACTTCCGTGCCATGCACTTTTTCGGTAACTTCCGTGTCATCCCCCCATGTAAATATAGGGGGAAAAAAAAAGTGCGAGAAATCCTGGTCTCCTTCGGAAAAGCGTTTAGAATGACCCCTAGAATACAGGAAAAATAGTGAAAAAAATTTGGAACAAGATATTTTTTTCATTTTTTTTGGAGCCAAAAGGACCCACAATTTTGGCAACTTCCCATAATGTCACAAAAAGTTGTCATTATTTCTTGTGACGTTGAAAAGCGAATCTTTGGAGGTCTGTGAACGCGACGGAAGGCCTGCAGGGCCTGCAGGGCCTGGACTAGCAGTCCGGTCGACACCCGATACTCGCGGAGTCGCGGGGCCCTTTGATAGAGCCATCCTCCTATGCAGCTCGAGCAGCGCTCTGTCTCCTTCGCACCCCCTCGGGACGCCGCACGAGTGCGAGAGAGACAGAGAGGGACGCCACGGCGTGGTGACCAAAGCGCCGTTCGGAATGAATCTCCTGGGCGCGCGGTGCGGCGCGGCGTCATCTGAAAACCACAAGCCGCAGGAGTGCTCCAGTTTCGGCCTTTCGGCACTGCACTGCCTGCGCACTGCCTGGCCACTGCACTGCCATGGGAGCGACGCTGCAAAGGCGGGGCGTCGGTCCTCGGCCGCCGCCAAGGCGTCGAGCCGTCAAGGGCGGGTTGGGTCCTTGGGAAAGGGTTCGGTGTCGCGTTCCCGGCGCCGCACAGTGGGCCAGAAGGCCGGTGGAGGCGGCCAAAACTCTAGACGCGTTTTGAGCTCCAGAGTCGCTAAATGGGACTCGAACCGAACGTGTGACCCCACCAATGGATTGCTCTCCGAACGGGGAATCCATTGGTGGGGTCACACGTTCGGTTCGAGCCCTATTTAGCGACTCTGGAGCTCAAAACGCGTCTAGAGTTTTGGCCGCCTCCACCGGTCTTCTGGCCCACTGTGCGCCGGCCGCCGCGCTCTGCGCGCTGCAACCAGCCCTATGCGCGGGCTTCCTTTACCGCAACAGAACGTAACACTGTTAAAAGGAGGGATGATGAAAATAACGTGAAACACAAATTAGCTTCGTACAATTCAGTTTCGTAATCTGTTTTCCTGTCTTTTGTTTGTTTTCTGCTGTACAGAGTGAAACAGGTGTTCCTCGACATCCGCAATGGACACTCCAGTAAAAACGGCTCCCCCAAGAAGGCCGTCGACGGGGGTGCCGTCCGATCCCCCTCGAAGCTCCCCGAGGTAAGTCCGCGACAGAGGCTACGTCCTTCCAAAGGCGGATCCAGAGACCGGGGGGTGGTGGTGTGTGGTGTGTGTGTAGAGAGAGACAAAAGTTGCCTATCTACAGTGGGAAAGTGCGACCAGTTGCCTACCTTTCACCCCCCCCCCTCCCCCCCCCCCGGATCCACCCTTGCGTCCTCGGCCGCGGCCCGCGCCGCCGCGCCCTTGACAGCTTGATTAGCAAGCCAGCGCGGATTCTGGCCATCTGAACAGGGCTTTCGTCGCTCCGTCCCTCTCGCACTCACAGTGGACGCCCCACGAGTGCGAGAGAGACAGCGCGGAATGAGCCGACGCGCCCTTTCGAAAGGCGCGCGCGTGACCGCCTGGCGTCTGACAGGCCCGCGACAAGTGTCGGCCACATTCCGAAATACGGAACGTCCAAACAACATTTGGAGTGTTTGCAGTAAGGACCCTGGTCATGGTCCATTTGCAAGTCTGCAAGTCACATCATCGAGCAATCATAAGCATGCCGACTGAGTCGTTACACTGATTCGTCGCGGTGTCTCTCTCGCGCGCTAGCGGTATGCCCAGCCCGAGGGGTGGCCGACTCCAGAAATTTCTGTACGAGGAACATGTTCCGACGGAACATGTTGGAACATTTTCCCAAATTTTGGGGGAAACATTTCGGAACATCTCGGAATAGGGGGAACATCGGAATCATCAGGCATCGGGGACATTTGGAATTATCTGGAAATATGTTGGAACATTTGGGAACATTCGGGAACATCAAGGAACATCAAGGAACATCTGGGAACATCTGAGAATATTAAGGGAACATCTCCAGAGTACCTCTATTGCTGTCGAATGCAATGCAAAGAATAGATTCTACTTGATATCGCTATCGAATTCTGTCTTCTAAGCCAACTGCAAATCTGATTGTCGGATAGTCTGACCACACCTAAAGTCGAACCTGGGTCCAAACTTCTTCGATTGACTCAAGATGGCCGGTTGACCTTGCCCTGTTTCCAAAAACACCCCTCTTTTGCTATTCTAGCTTTGTAAGGGGATCCTACTTTGCCCCGTAGACCATGACGGACCTGCAGCAGTGCCCCTGGGCCTCGGATCGAAAAAGCCGACTCAGGGTAGTTCATTTGGTCGTCCAAACACACCAAATTTGGAGTAGATCGGACGGCGGAAATTTCCCCCCCTTCCCCCTTTTACGTACGTACGCGCGCGCGCAAAAAAAAACACACACACACACACACCATGCACTCTCGTTCCAAGTACGTGACATCACGTTAAAACGAACGTGACAAAATGTGGCATTGTCACATTCGTTTGGATGTGAACAAGGTAATTTTTGGCCGATTCACATCCAAACGAATGTGACTCAATGCTCAAACGACCGTGACATAGTTTCAACCGGATGTCTCGCACTACGAATGAGAGTGTGCATCCGACCATCCTGACACGGGACAGGCTAAAAAAGATATAATAAACCAGAGGAACACAAGGAACATTTTGGAACATTAAGGAACATTTTGGAACATTAAGGAACATTTTGGAACATTAAGGAACATTTTGGAACATCGAGGAATACTGGGAACATGAGAACATTGGGAACATCAGGGAACATTTTTCGGAACATTTGACCGATGTACGAGGAACATCGAAGTCGGCCACCCCTCGGCCCAGCCTGGCCCGCCCCCGGCGTGGGTGCGAGAGAGACGGCGCGACGACACCAGATGAATACGTTATCCGCGCCGCGGCATGACGATCGCAAACAGAAGTCGCCCATCACGTCGCCTGGCGCGTGCCGTCGCGTGGAAGGCCGGCCGGCAGAGAGGCGCCGCGTCGCTCTGTCTCTCTCGCACCCCCGCGGGACGCGCCGTGAGTGCGAGAGAGACAGAGCGGCCGGCTGGCGGCGCCGACTCCCCTTCACCTTCGCCTTCACCCAGACGCGCAGCGCGCAATGCGCCTCGATGACTAGATGAAACTCGGGCCGCCGTTTCTCGCAAAGTCTGATCCGCTCATTGCATTCAGACACGCAGTAAGGCGGAGCCGATAGCGCGAGGCCTCATGCAGCCCGTCTCCCGTCTCTCTCGCACTCTCGGGGCGTGTCGGTGTGCCGCCGGGGCGCGAGAGAGGCAGAGCGACGAGGCGCTACTCGGAACCACATGGCGGTGTCTTGCCGTTGTCTACCGCAGCGGCGTGCTTCGCGCACTTCCACGCAGTCGGCTCATTCCGAGCGGAAGGCGTCTCTCCGTCTCTCTCGCACTCACGGGGCGTGGCGCCTGGGTGCGAGAGAGACAGAGAGAGGGAGAGAGGGACGCCCCCCGCTCGGAGTCCGCATGCAGAGGCAACGCAAGGCAACGCCCTCGCTCACCACGTGGCCGGCGAGTGTCTGCCTGGCCTGCCTAGCCTGCACAGTGGGCCAGAGGACCGGTGGAGGCGGACAAAAGTCAAGACGCGTTTTGAGCTCCAGAGTCGCTAAATAGGACTCGAACCGAACGTGTGACCCCACCAATGGATTGCTCTCCGAACGAGGAACCCATTGGTGGGGTCACACGTTCGGTTCGAAGTCTGTTCAGCGACTCTGGAGCTCAAAACGCGTCTAGAGTTTTAGCCGCCTCCACCGGTCTTCTGGCCCACTGTGGCCTGCCTAGCACGCCACGATCAGCACACACAGAGAAACGTGGGCCTTTATTTCGGACTGTGACCCACCGCCGCTATGTTGGCAATGTTTGACTCGGGAAAATTTGCTCGGGTTCAAGTCGAGGATTGCGGTTGACTCGGCGTTGACACTTGCCTGGGTGTAGTATAGTACATTGCATAATCTGTCTGCCGCTTAGCCGCGCATAGCCGTGGGGCCGCCGCGGACCTATCGAAGCATCTCTCTCTCTCTCTCTCTCTCTCTCTCTCTCTCTCTCTCTCTCTCTCTCTCTCTCTCTCTCTCTCTCTCTCTCTCTCTCTCTCTCTCTCTCTCTCTCACGTGGCACAAAGGGAATGCGTTATGTGGCGGAGTTGCCTGCACGGCAGGGGAGGGGCTTGACCATTGATTTCCACTCAGGGAGTGGGCAGAGAGTACTAAGCCGTACTAAGCCAAAAGCTGTGGTAAAAAAAACTGCGGTAGTACAATGCTGGTCTTTGAAATGCAAGCCTACTTACTTCCAGGCATTTATTGCGAAGATCGGGTTGGGAGGAGTTTTTAAAAATAATAAGAAGGGGTGGGGAGGGGAGTGTCACTGGCGAGGTCGCTGATCTGCATGTTGGCCAAACTGGTTCTTGCTCGCTGCGGAGGCGCTCTGTATGTTCCGGAGAGCTGCACGGAGGAGTCAGGCGTCTAGACTCCGCGGTGAAGCCGGTACAGTCGGAGACATAACTGTCTCATTGTCCAAATAAGCAAGGGCTGAACACTACACTCTAAATGTCTTTTGGTGTCCGACATATTATGGTGGAGATTTTATCCCTAATACGAAAGAAATTCAACAATATGTTCGGAAGGTACTATGAATTTTTAAACGCAAGTCACAAAGTCAGCCGCACCCGAGGGGGCAACCACTCGAGAAATCATGTGTCCCCTGGAGCCCGAAAAATCTCTGGAAATCCGAAATCTTTCCTCAAAAAGGCAAAAAAACAGGCAGATTTTAGGCGTAAAATTGGACGCAATCTTGTGAAATCCGACGAAATCTCTTGTCGTAAGAAATCTTGTGTCCCCAAACATCGTACGTGGTTGCCCCCTCGGCCGTACCACCATAATTTAGAGAATTGACGCCATAATTTAGTGAATATCACATCACTAAGACTTTTAGAGTGTACCAATGTGCTTGGAAGAAACATTTTGACGCTTGTCTCTGCCCGCAGGTGCTGGCGTGCTGCTCGGCGCTGTCCTTCCACTTCGGGCTGGGCCTGGTGCTGGCGTACTCCGCCGTGCTGCTGCCGCAGCTGGAGGCGCCCGACAGCGACATCAAGATATCCAGGGAGCAGGCGTCGCTCGTCGGTCAGTACAGTCGCGCGATGCAAATGTCACGTCAGCGGGCAGGCAAGCTGCTGTCACTGCACTGTAAAAAAAATTCTTAGAAGTTCCTCAAGAACGAGTTGGGCAAAAAGAAATTACCACCGATCTCGGGAAAGTTGCGAAATCTCCAGTGTTTCTTTTATGTATGAGTCGGCGCCAGGTAGAGCAAATAAAATGTCACGACGGCGCTTCGGAAGGCACTTGCCGGGGTTTTCCAACTGGCATCTAACAGTGCGCCGCTCATTATATAATTTTTCTTGCGACTGCGAAAGAAGGGAGATAGCAGGGAAAAACTGAACGAGTTTACCTCTGGCTCTGGCAGTATAAACTAGATCTATGTCAGAGGGATATACCGCTTCGAAGCCAGACAGAGCGGCATGATCACTTGAACGAGGAAGTAAGCAAACAGTGCATGAGTGCACTTTACCGCAGGGTACACACTGCGCACTTGCGTAAGCATAACGGGTATGGCGCCGTGTTCGGTTTATCCTTCTCTTTGTCGGGATGCATGAGGATGCAGAATCGGTGCCTGACTTGCATCATCAATGCCCGCAAAAAAAAAAGAAAAAGAATTTTTTTTGGCGATAGATGGCCGGCGGCAAGGTACTAGACGACGGTGACTCACGCACTGTGATGTCGTCGCAGACCCCGATGATAAGCAACAGGCTGACTCCGTCGCTCTGTCTCTCTCACACCCTCAGGGCACGGCCCAGGAGTGCGAGAGAGACAGAGCGACGACACCACTGCACAGGCTGCAGTTCAGGATGAGTGCCTTGTGCAATAAGGTTCAATAGCACGCTGCAATGACTTGAGCTTTCTACGTTCCTCAAACGGGACTCAAATCGAACTAAAGACAATGTAGGGATGGAGGTAAATCTTCGAACGAGGCCACGAGCTCCGTGGTCCACTATGATAGCCCTTCACAGTGTTTCACAGTGTGGGTGCCCCTCGACCCTCCACAACCCGCCAGTAGTAAGGCTCGCCCAGCCTTACTACTCCCGCCTAACCGATTTCCGCCCTCCTCCTCCGCAGCCAGCATCGTGGCGCTGTCCGTGCCCATCGGCTCGCTGGTGACGGGGCCCATCATGGAGGCCCTGGGCAGGATCCGCACCGTGCAGCTCGCCTCCGTGCCCTACATCGTGGGTTCGGTGCTCATCGCCACGGCCACCGGCTTCCCCATGCTGCTGGCCGGCCGCTTCCTCACGGGCATCGCGTCGGGAAGTGGGTGCAAACGACCTTGATAACGGCCTTGACAACGACCTTGACAGCACTGGCAGAACTGAAGCGTGCTTTTACGCATTTCTCCGCTCCGCCACTCTCCGCCCCTAGCTTGACTTCAAGCGTGAGGTCTTCAAATGCAGTTGTGTGCTTGAATGCAGCGTACGCTCCAGTTTTACCAGTGCACGGCCATGACCTTGATAATGACCTTGATAATGACCTTGAGAATGACCTTAACCCGGTTTGTTTGCAGCGTTCGGCGCCAACCCCGCCATCGTGTACACGACCGAAGTGGCGCGGCCTGAGCTGCGAGGCTCGCTCATTTCGATCGGACCTTTTATGGTCTCACTAGGTCAGTGAACTGAACGCGTCCGCCTCACGCCGCCAGGGGGTGGTGTCCCATTGGGTGTCCCCTGCCTCGTCTGCTGAGGGTGACAGTGACAGCGAGTGACTACGACAGGCGTTGGGCGGAAGAAACTCCGTTGTTTTCAGTCAAATTCTTTGACGATTTTAGTGGAGTTGAGGCACTCGCTGTCACCGGTTCACCCATTTAAGCCCACTCAGCTGAAACGAAATTCTGGGTACAAGGGCAGCGAAAGCTAATTGAATTTTAAAATAGGGTATTTCGGAGCAGCCCTGGCCCGGAAGAAGAAGAACAAAAACGGAAGTTAGAAATGGCAGTTTCTATGAGAAATATACGCTGCGGATCCTCATCTGCAGCGTATATTTCTCATAGAAACTGCCATTTCTAACGTCCGTTTTTTCTTCTTCTTCTTCCGGGCCAGAGCTGCTCCGAAATACCCTATTAAAGCATACACCGATAACATAATGAAACCCCGGAGCTTCGTCGTTAAATTGAGGCCCCTAGTCCCGCTACTGTTCCTCTGGAACAGCCTGTGCGTCTACCGTAGACGGTCTACGCCCGTTGGTCACCGCTGCGTGTTTTTGGTTCGGTCGCGCAGGGACCTTCGTCACCTACATCGTGGGCGCCTACATGCACTGGCGCACGCTGGCCTGGGTGTTCGCCGGGGCGCCCCTCATCACGCTGGGCCTCATGCTGCTGTGCACGCCCGAGAGCCCCCTGTGGCTGGCCGCCAAGGGCCGCAGGGAGAAGGCGCTCAAGTCCGTCAAGTTCCTCGCCAGGAAGGACCCGGCCAAGGTAACGGATCGACCAGAGAAGCCCCTCTGGAGCCGAAAAATGCAGCCTGAACCTTCAACCCTAAACTTTGACCCCTAAACCTTGACCCCTGAACCTTGAACCCTAAACCTTGAACCCTAAACATTGACCCCTAAGCCTTGCACCCTAAACCTTGAACCCGAAACCTTGAATCCTTAACCTTGAACCCTAAACCTTGCACGCTAAACCCTGAACCTTGAACCCGAAACCTTGCACGCTAAACCCTGAACCTTGAACCCTAAACCTTGCACGCTAAACCCTGAACCTTGAACCCTAAACCTTGCACGCTAAACCCTGAACCTTGAACCCTTAACCTTGCACGCTAAACCCTGAACCTTGAACCCTAAACCTTGCACGCTAAACCCTGAACCTTGATCCCTAAAGTTTAAGTGTTAGGTTAAAGTTCAAGGTTTAGGGCCTGAACCTTGAACCATTCACCTTGAACTCGGCCTCCTCGCAGCTGGCCTCGGCCGAGGCGGACGTGGACGCCCTGGTGCTGGCGGCCGAGGAGCGGCGGGCGTCGCAGCGCAGCGGGCTGGCGGCCTTCCTGGCCACGCTCTTCATGCAGCGCACGGGGCTGCGGCCGCTGGTCGTCGTCGCCACCCTCTTCGCGCTGCAGCAGTTCTGCGGCATGTACGTCACGCTCTTCTTCGCCGTCAGCTTCTTCAAGGTGAGAAGTTTAGTGAACCCTTCGGGCCTTCGGGCACTGCACCATGGGAATGTTTGGTTCGCAACGTGGCGCCACTGGCTCGGTGCATCCCCGCCCCGCGGCCTTGGCGGCCTTGACCCGGTACGCGATTCGCGGTGCTTCGCGGGGGTGTGGCGGGCCGTGCCAGTCGCGAACGGTCGCGGCGCCGCGGGGTATCGCCGCCCGTCGGGTTGCCTATAGACGGGCGCTGCGACGGCGCTACCCCGCGCCGGCCGGGTACTCGCTGAATTCTGACTTCTGCTTTCCCGCGCAGGACGTGGGCTCCGCGATGGACCCCAACCTGGCCAGCATCCTGGTGGGCGCCATCCGCGTCGTCACCTCGGTGCAGGCCACCTTCATGATGCGCCGCTTCGGGCGTCGGCCGCTGCTGCTGCTCAGCGCGTCGTGCTGCGCCCTCGCCATGGCCGTGTCGGGCTACTTCGCGAGGATCATCGCCAACGGACCGGCAGGTGAGTCGCTTCTTCGCTCTGTCTCCGTCGCACTCTCCGGAAGGGTGCGGGTGAACAGAGCGACAAACTGCTCTTTTCAGCCGCCCGTTTCGATACGTAAGTTAGAAAACATTCCCACGGCCCAGTCAAGTGCCCAAAGGTTTGCTTGCATCAGCGGGCCTGCTGCGCACACCGACTGACTCTCGGTCACGGCTCTGCTTCGCTGACGTTATTGCTCATCGCTGACAGAGCGGCGCTGTCCACTAGCAGCAGGCCGACGGCCGACGTAGGCAACCCTTTCGACTTTGGCGTACCGTGGGAAATTTGGCATGCTCGTGAGTCCAAGTGGACTGGCCGATGGAGTGGAGCGCCGTGCAGGGCAGGCAACCCAACGTGCCCCACCGCACTGCGTGCTTGCGGCGCGCGGGCGCAGCGCCGCCACTGCGGGGAACTTCCTTCACCTTTGCTTGCACTTTCGTTTGGAAAGTGGCGCGGCCAGGCAGGCACGCTGCCAGCGGACTGATTCCGAGAGTGTGCTTCGTCGCTCTGTCTGTCTCGCGCCTATACGGACCGTCCCACGAGTGCGAGAGAGACAGCGACGTAAACGACTCTCGGAATCAGTGTGCAGAGCGAGAGCGCGACCGACCGCGCGCTTGAGGAAGGCGGGCGGGCCCAAGGGCGGGCCGTGTTCCCGTATGCGTGAGTGTTCGCCGAGCCCGGACACATTAGTAGGCAACTATTCCCACGATGCACCGGTGTCAAAAGGGTTGCCAGCCTCAGCCTGCCTCTCAGACAGGTCCTCGAGAGCAATGGAATGACGCGGAACTGCGCTGTAGTTCCACCAGTGCACGCCGCCTTGCGGTTCAAACACTGACAGCTTGTGTGTTTTGCAGACGGCCCGGTGGCCCTGAACGCCACGCTGCCCGAGGACGCGGAGGCGCTGGCCGCGGCGGCGTGGGTGCGCTGGGTGCCGGTGGTGGCCATCCTGGTGTACGTGTACTGCGGCATGCTGGGGCTGCTCACCATCCCCTGGACCATGACGGCCGAGATGTTCGCGCCGCGCGTGCGCAGCCTGGGCCAGGGCATCTCGGTGGCCCTGGCCAACGTCTTCATGTTCGGCGCCGTGCAGAGCTACAAGGACCTCGTCGGCCTGCTGGGCGGCGTGTGGGCGGTGCACTGGCTGTACGCCGCCGTGGCGCTCATCGCCGTCGTCTTCGTGTACTTGTTCGTGCCCGAGACGCACCGCCGCACGCTGGCCGAGATCGAGGAGTACTTCGACACGTCGCTGGTGTACCCGCTGTACCAGCGGCGGCGGCGGCAGCAGCGGCTCGGCCTGGAGCAGGGCGGCCTGGTGGTGAACCGCGCCGACTCCCCCACCGGCCACAACGAGAGCGGCGTGGCGGCCAACGGCGCCAACGGCCACGGAGCCAGCGCCGCGCTGCTGGACGAGAAGGCCTGAACCCTGGAGGCGCGCCACACGCGGGGCGCACGGTGCTCTCGCAACGCGTGCTTATCAACGCGACCTCGGCCTGCAATTTGAACCATCGCACACAGTGCCGGCAATAGACAGATTGCAAACAGTGCTCCGTCTCTCTTGCACCCCTACACGTGCGACGACACCTCTCTGTTCGGTATCATCAGCCTGCAGCGGCCTGCAGGCACCGGCCTCCGGATCGATCTCCTTGGAGTCCTCTGTGTGCGCCACTCCGCGAGTCGCCATACTGCTTGCCGACCCATTGCCACTGCGGTGTCAAAACACAACTTGGGTGCGTCGGAAGCCCGCAATGCATTGGAGGCGAGTACAATGAAACTGCAGCGGTGCTGATGCCAAGGCGGCTGAGATCTGTGCAAGGGCGGATCCAGAGACGGGTTCAGGGGGGGGGGGGCTCCCCTGGATCCGCACCTGGATCTGTGTATAGCAAAAAATATGTTGTTTCGTCGGGCCACAGCCATTCTCCGGCCACATTACGGCGTCTCGAAACAAATGGCTAAAACGGTGTTCAAATTTTTATGGTGGTGTGGACCGTGGAAACAATAATACAATTTCGGACAATGTCGAAATCCCGGCTGGAAAATAAAAGTCCTGCGTCAGAATGGATGTCTGTTCGACGTGTCGAGAGCTAGGATGGCGAGCGCCTGCCGGTAGGCACACCATCGGGCATGCGGGGCGGAAAGCTAATGAATGGAAAACAATGCCGAGTTCTGAATGTCGGCACGAACTTCTTCTTAATCATATCAGCCGCACTGATGCCCAAAGTAGGTGCTGCCGGACATGCGTTATCTCACCTTGGGTCATTATGGTAATCCATGGACCATTAGTTTGTATTATGCCATGACTTTTGAGGCGAGCCCACGTGTATTTAAGTGTCTCTTTGTGCTGCTTTCAAGTCTGAGTTTATTCTTTCAGTGTCGTTTATACTGATGAAGCTGTGATATAATGTAACGTAGTCCACGCCATAAATACGTGCCATGTTAGAATAATTTAATGAATACTTTGTTCAATACTTAGGGCTTAATGTGTCCCATTGTTTCAACCATGTGAACGGCCGAGTACTTATTTATACCCTAGTTGCATACGGTGTGTCATGCATACTGCTAAAATTGGTGTTCATAAACTGTCGTTCAATGTGTATTGTTAGATTTTATTTTCACAATAAACATCACATAGGATACATTTCCAAACGCTCGAAACGGTGCCTCATTTTACGACCCCGGCACCTGACGGGTGGGAGTTCCCCGCCATTTCGTTACTATTTGCTCCCCTGTCTGCCTGCCGTTCCATTTTCTAGCTTTGCTCATGGCAGAATGGCAGAGACGCACGCGGTGATGTCACCGGTGTGGAGAGAGCGATAGCGATAGCGGGGCATATCTGAGTGAAACACCTTCGCCGGCAGTGACAGTGCGAACGCGTGCGGCGATACCCCGCGCCTTCCGCGGCGCCGCCGTGTCGCTACCCCGCGCCCCGCGCCGCCCCCGGGGAAGGGGTTGAAGGGGCAGCGACCTCCCTTCTCCCCTCCGGCGCCAACGCGCGGCGCTTGGCTGCGCTAGGCGGGGTGGCAGGAAGAACTGCGTCATGGTACTCGGTACTCAGTGTGCGAGATTAACCCAAGCCGGAAGAAGAGAGACAGACAGCAGACACCCGAGGGACTTAGACGACTCTAGACGGTCTGTCACACGTGCCGCCACGCCGCGCGCGCCACCTGGCGGGGCCGACGGCAAGCGGCCAAGCTGCGCGATGCCTGGCGGGCGGAACCGGACGGAGTTGGGAGGTTGGGTTGGGAGAGGCGAGCGCAGCGGGCGAGGGGAGAGGGAGAGGGGAGGCGGCGCGAAGGCAGGGGGTGGGGTGGGGTGTTGGATCAAGCACCGGCTGCCGTTGCCGTTCTCTGGTGCCCTGCCCGCCCAGCCAGCCAGCCAGCCACAGCCCGTCCGCCTGCCGTCCCCCGCGCCGCGCTTCGCATCGCTTCGCCGCGACAGCGGGTATATACTCCACTGTCAGTGGCTGGTGGAACGTGTCGAAGTCGCGTCGCGTGGTGTGGAGGTGCGGTGCTCGCGTTCGAACCCCGTCCGTGCCGTCGCGGCCCGCGCAAGTCCTCTCGGCCTGTCCTGCCGTGGCCCCCGCAGACTCCATCCTCTCTGAGTCACCACACCAGAGCGCCTTGCATTTGGAGGTTAGCCGCGTCGCGCGCCCCTACACGCCAAGATGAACAGTGCGTACTTGGACGCGGGGACCACCCCCAACTACTCGTACGTGTTCAACTTCGAAGAGGAGTTCGTGCACCAGGACACGCGCGTCTGGATGTCCAAGAACTGGACGTATGGCTTCTACTACGTGGGGATCTACATGGTGCTCATTTTCGGCGGCCAGTGGTACATGCAGAGCCGCCCCCGCTTCCAGCTCGCGGGCATCCTGTGCGTCTGGAACACGGCGCTCGCCCTCTTCAGCATCTGCGGCGCGACGCGCACCGCCCCGGAGCTGTTCCACGTCCTGAAGAACCACGGCCTGTACCACTCCATCTGTGTGCCCAGGTTAGTCGGCCCTCGAGTCCTGCACCCTGCCGGACCGGCCAGCGGCCCGGGCCCCTAGGGCCCCTCCCCTCGCGGTGCCTTGGCGGTGCCTTGGCTTCCGCGATGGCCGATGGCAGCCGATTTCTCTGGCGGCCGTTTGGGCCGCGGCACCCGACCGCGGCTTGGCGGCGCGCAGGCCGCTCGCTTTCGAACGCGCCGATCGGCCGAGCCCTCGGCCAGCCGCGGTTTCTGTCATGGTTTCGACGGGGAGCCCCGATTTATTTGGCGGTGTCGGCGAGGTTAGGTGCCCCCTTGTGACATGCAAATTGGAGTCAAGTGAGGCTTTCAGCTGGTTGACATCAAGATGAGACCTTTAACTCGGATTCGAGACCTTTAACTCGGATTCAATTTGAGCACCCAGGTCACGGATTATTGTTTGGCCATGTACTGCATGCCTGCTTTGCATTTGGCTCTCAAGTTTGAAGGGGTACCAGTTTTTTCTTTTTAAATTATCCCTTATGCATTATGGCAATTTTATTTGTGCAGTTGCTCTGTACTCATGGCCTTGTTTGTCTGTGTGTTGCAGTTTCATTGAACAGGATCGTGTGTCAGGCTTCTGGACGTGGATGTTCGTTCTCTCAAAACTTCCGGAGCTTGGTGACACTGTCTTCATTGTCCTGCGGAAACAGCCTCTTATCTTCCTCCATTGGTACCACCACATCACTGTCCTTCTGTACTCTTGGTATTCGTACACTGAGTACACAGCATCAGCTCGCTGGTTCATCGTTATGAACTACTGTGTTCATTCTGTTATGTACTCCTACTATGCTCTTAAGTCCATGAAGTACAGCCCTCCACGTCCCTTTGCTATGCTCATCACAGCTCTCCAGCTGACTCAGATGATCGTTGGATGTTGTGTCAATGTATGGGCATATCAGTATCTCAAGGCTGGCCAAGGCTGTCACATTTCCTCTTTTAATATTAAGCTATCCATTGCCATGTACTTTAGTTACTTTGTCTTGTTTGCAAGGTTCTTCCAGAAGGCCTACCTGAGTAGTGATAAGAAATCAAAGGGAAGGGAGCGTATTACCACTAATGGTGTAGCCCCTTCAATGAAAGAAAAGGCACTTTGATGTGCTTGTTTGGTTACAGCTATTTTCTTTTACCAAATTTTGTATTTCTTGAATTGGAACAAGATAATGAAGTCTAGAGCACGAGTGTGATGCATCTTTTAAGCAAATCACAATCTAGTCATAGCAGGTCATTTTAACTAACTGCAAAATTAGGCTTGTTATTTTTAAGTGCAAAGCACTCAGTTTGGCTTTTTATGACAGTGTCATGGAGACCATTAGCTTTTCCAATTTCACTCCCCAGTTTGAAAATATTAGAAGTATTATGGTTAGTTCAACACATCTTGATTCACATCTTCTCTGAACTACATTGCAGTTGTCAATCTTCAACCTCAATTAGGTCGGAACCATGTAATTTTGTTTTAATGATTTCCTTTGGTGTGATGTCTGCTGTCTGGAAATTAATTAATTTAAGTATTTATGGCTCCATTTTCTGAATGGTACCACAGTACCTGTAATGGATCTAGTTAATGGAGGTGTTTGCACCAAAAATAAGTAGTGTTTTGTAAGAATTTTTTGATCTTTGTTTGGTCATGTTTTGTAGATGTTCTTCCCATTCTTGCGAATTTCCTGAGTGTTCATGGTTGTTGTAAGGCTGGAAGCATTTAGGTGGTATCTTTCTTTTGAAGAATTGTGTAGAACTTATCACTCTATATTTTTGAAGTGACAGTTTGTTCTGTCTCTCTTGAAGGCAATTCTTTATCTTGCCAAGTACATAAACTAAGTTTGCTGTGCCGTTGGTAATTTTTTAAGCAAGAAACTTGCTGTTAAAAAGTGTGCTTCTTTAAATTTTATTTACAAGACTTTATTTTTCTCCAAGCTTCAAGACTTTTGTCAGTGTTTTTCTTATCTATATTGTTTTGCACAAATTTTCTGGCACTCCTGTGTTCAAATGCTTGACTTGTACCCATTGTTTATTCACCTTTCTTTTTGGGTGTATTTTCAGTGGAACTACAGTAATCATATTTCTGTGGGAAGAAAAATATACTCTTCCCCCGTATGCATTTTTTAAAGTTGACCTCTTTACCTCAAAGTAAGAAAATAGACCAGTCATTGTTACGTCTGTGGGAGATTTTGTCTTGTTACTGGTAATCATTCATTGCATTTTATTGGCATTCCATTTGAATATTTTGTCTTATCAGTGAGATGGTATTCTAGTAGAGGACCATGGGTCCCTACTGGTGTATTATTTATCTCCTGTTTTTATTTTGTTGGTTTGCTGGTGCAGGAATGTGTTGTAAGTGATTATCTCACTCTTCCAAATATTTTTAAGAGAGCTTCTTACTTTCAAACTCTACTAGTTTTGGCTTGGATTGTGAAGGAAAGGATAAAATCTCAAGGATATTGCCATTTGGCCTACATTTGCACTCAACAATTAAGTACAAATGACTGGAAAGGAGTGATGTGAAACTTTGAAACCATTTGGAACTATTTTTAAGGATTTCCATTTGTTAGGAGCATTACGTAGTCGTCTATTTTTCTGGCTATTATCAATTATGCTTCTGTCATACCTGCTTATAATCACAGGTATTGCTCAAATGTAAAGCTTTGTGATTCTGTAGGTCTTAAAATAACTCAAGTGTGCTTTAGACATCCCTCCTGAGACTGTGATGAATATTTTTATTGGGTCTCTTCTAACTCGATGTCTTGAAAATTAGGTCATTTTTCTAATTTCATCTTATTTCTTGGAAACATTTAAACCATTTGACTTTCTTGAAATGCTTCTAATTAAAATTAAAATATGTAAGTAGTTTAGTTTAATTTAGTCCTAGCAATCAAGTTGTTTTATTTAAAATTGACAAAATTGATGCTTATGGAATATTTAAGGCCTTTAATCTTATGTGAAGTATTATGTGTAAGAGCTTAAAGCTGTTATTGTCATAAAGCAGTTTCTTTTTCCTTTCTCTGTGATAAAATGCTTGTACTGAGAGATGGGGTGGATGAATGTACACTCTGTAAGGTTTTCTCCAATTTGCCAATGTGTATTGCCAATAAACATGGGAGTAAATGGACCTCCTACTGTTCGGCATAAGTATGGAAAAGCATGTTCAGCTGTGAGTCCGGTTTTTAAGCAAGTTTTTCTGAGTGAATTGCAAATGTCTTAGCAACTTTTACCAGTGGTTGTATTTTTATTACTTTACATCCTGCCTGATATGTTATGTTTTTTTTTAAACAACAGAAGACGTTGTACAGTAATGTATGTCCTCAATCCTCGTTCATTCTGGGGTGATGCAATTATTTAACAATTTTGTAACTTGTTATTGTGTTAAAGAATCAAGGTGATTGTTTTGTCATGTTTTTGTTTGCTTGCAAAGACTCAACTCATTGTTATCTTTCCCTTGGCAGAAATTCAACCAAGACTAAATTAATAAAAAAATGAAAGTACCCAGTTTTATTCTTTGAGATTCTTAAACTTTCCCTAACTAATTGAACGGTACGAGTACAGTACATCTGCATGAGTGCCCGCACACATTTGAATTGAATTGCGCTGGCCCGGGCCTGCAAGTGTGCCAGTCCAGGCCGCACGGCAGGTCGGCAAGCCGTATTCGGAGCACGTCGGGGCGCACTGATTCCGAGAGTCGACGCGCTCTCTCGCGCCCATACGAGACGCCCGCCGAGTGCGAGAGAGACAGAACGACGGATGGCTCTCGGGAGGGCCGGGCCAGTGAAAGGGGAGACACGGAGCAGGAAAGTGAGTCCAGTCCGCCAGATCTCGGCTCAATTAAGACGTGCAAGCTCATCCCATTGAAAACCGGTCCGCCGGCGGTAACAGTCAGAGGCCCCACAGTGGCCGCACCGCGCCGAAGATTCAGGTTAGGTTAGGCCGGTGGGTGTGACTGTCTCTCTCGCACTCAAGGGGCGTTCAATCGGAGTGCGAGAGAGAGAGAGAGAGAGAGAGAAACACTGTTCGAAGTCACTCTCCTGCTCTTTATTCTCGTTCGAAACGACGTAAATTGCTTGACGTTTTCAAGTGCTCTAGGAATCGGGCGGACGGCCGCACAGTCGTCATCATGTCATTTGAAGCACGGTCAGTCAGTCATTCAGTCAACTACGCAGCACAACCCGTCCTGGCATGCAGATTGTTCATATCGTAAAACCCGGGTTTGCTCTTTTCTCGACCTTGCCACATGAAATAACCAGGCGAAAATGGACAGTAAGTTGGGAATCAAAGTGGTCGCGCCCTAGCAACACGACAGTAAAGCTTCCCCGGGGGTTCCGAGACCGCCAACGGCAACCCTTTTTCCACACACCGAGAATCCGTGCACCGCCACGGACCCGCTACAATCCCGTCTAATCCTGTCGCACCCCCAGGAGTCGGCTTTGAATCTTTTTATCGGAATAAAGAGTGCGTGACCGGCAAGCCCAAGATGTAATTGAGTGATTCCGCCATTGACGCTATGCACACCAAACAAAATAGAAGTTAATTCTACAACTCATCGAGAGACTTTCCGTAACCAGGTAGCCAAGCCGCACCCTGCAGTTGCCGCAGCCCCTTCCGCAGATCCGGCTCCAAAGTTTCTGTGAACTACCTCATCAACCTCTCGACTTGTCCTGCGGATTGTTTTTGAACCGTGGTTTCTTTCAATTTCTGTCTCTCTGCAAATCTGGAGGTGTGGTTGGAGAGACACGAACACTTTGGGGCTTCCCCTCGACGGGGTTCGGGGCCACCCCATTTCCATCTCGACGAAAACGAGAGCCGACGAACGCAAGTCTATCCCTGTCTATCCTTGTCGCACGCTTCCCAGGAGGTCAGTGGCATTGAACCCTTTTCGCGGCCGTGCCCGGCCAAGCCCAGGAGGACTCTGGGTGATTCCCGCCGATTGCCGCCGGTCGCCAAACTAAGCAGGACGTCTGCTTTGTTTCCACTCTTCGAGAGGGACTTTCCGTAAACCAGAAGCCAAGCCGCCTGTCTGCTGTTGCCGCCGCCCCCTTTTTTCCGCAAACCGGCTCCAAAACTCTTCCGGTGAACCTACCTCTCTGCCCCCCTCTCGACTTGTCCTGCGGATTGATTTCGAAACAGTGGTTTCGTCGCTCTGTCTCTCTCGCACTCGTGGAGAGTGTGGGTGCGAGAGAGACGAAGCACTGGTGGCGTTTCCTGAACGTTCAATCGGGGAATCGCAAAGTCAGCTTTATCGCAAAAAAAAGGAGTAAAACAAAAGTATTACCGAATGGATGACAGTGTCTCCCACTCAGCACCGCGAGGCAACCTAACCTAACCGCGAGTAGGGTCGCGCGGGGCTAACCTCACGCCACTCTCTCTGTCTCACTCTGCCGCTCCATTCGGCGAAAGAAATTCCATGGAAGTCCCCCGCGGCGCTGCTTGCGCTGCTGTGCGTCTGGTCGCTCTGTCTCTCTCGCACCCGAACGGCCCGAGCGGGACGCACCGTGAGTGCGAGGGAGACGGAGCATCAGCGTGCTGCCGTCTGATTCCGAACACTGCTTCGTCGCTCTGTCTCTCTCGCACCCCTACGGACCGCCCCATGAGTGCGAGAGAGACAGACGACGAAAGAAGTGTTTGGAATCAGACGGCTGCCGGGCGTCTGAGGTCTGAAGCGATGCGGTGACTCGGGCGGGTGGCGGCGGTTTCTCAAGATGAGGAGAGGCGTTGACTCAACCAGGGACTGCGGAGAGTTGCCTTCGTCGCTCTGTCTCTCTCGCACCTATACGGGAGTCGCCATGAGTGCGAGCGAGACAGAGCGACGAAAACGACTCTCGGAATCAGCCCACTGCCTACTGGTAACCGCCGCCGGGGCTGTTAGGCGTCAGGACGAGATGCTGTGAGCATCGCGAAATTTGTCGCTGCGGTTGCTTGCTGGAGCGGGGGGGGGGGGGGGGGGCATATAGGGTCCGCGGGTCGTTTTCATCACACCGTCTCCCTCCCTCGCACCAATGCGGTACGCGCCGTGAGTGCGAGAGAGACAGCGCCTGTTCGCATTTAGCCACGCCACTCGCACGCATCGCGAGGGAATGGACCTGGAGTGAACCCGGCGGCGCGAGGCTCGCGAGGCGCACTGCAAGAAAAAGTGTGGATTGTACAACAAAGGTACAACAAAAACTGTACAATAAAAGTACAACAGGGATTGTAGAAAGTACAACGAGAGTTGTACAAACCACAACGACCCCTGGACTGCACAGCACTCGTCATGCCGGTTCCATTGTACTTTGTACAACAATTGTTGTACTTGAAAAGTACACTAAATTCCTGATAAAAAATTTGCCAGAAATTTGTGTACTTTTGTTGTGGTTATTTCCTGCAGTGCGAGACGCGACGAGATGGCACTGACCACGGTGAGTCCGCCGGGCTGGCTGGGCTGGCCGGGCTGCGATAAGGGATGCGATGCGACTGTCCAGCCAGAAAGGCCGATTCCGAAACAGTGCCCTCGTCGCTAGTGTTCCGGATTGGGTGGGCGGTCAACCCGATGACTCCAGAGCTACTCCAGAACTCGCTCTACAAATCGAAGAGTGTACATGGTATGCTCTAACTAGAGCATGCCTGCAAGCACGCTCTAGCTAGCGCATGCCTGCCAAGCATGCACTTACTAGCGCATACATGCCATGTACACGCTTCCCGATGCAGACAACTCCCTATCCCTTATGCACTAGATGCATGCTTCAGTTAGCGTGTACATCCCAGTCAACATTGCTAGTACCAGGTCCCTGACTGTACCTCCCACTGACCTCCATGCGAAGTCCGTTTCGTCTGTCTATATCTGATGTCAGCTGGAGTAGTGGTGTACTACGGTCTGGTACGTGAAAAGTGCGGGAAACGCTACTCCGCCATCTTGGTCCTACTGGTCGCACTCACTAGTCCCTCCATAGTACAGAGGTAGTCCGAATCCGGACCATGCATATATCCGTGTACTTGTCGCGTTTGCACAGGTTAAATGCAACCAAAAATGCGACAAATTACTTTGGGGAATTGGGGACGTTGGGGAATTCCATTGTAAAATATATATAAAATCGTTAGTGAATTTCATTTAATTTCCTGAGAAAATTTTCAATTTCTTGAGAAAATTTTAAATTTCCTGACAATTTTTAATTTTTTGAGGAAATTTTTACTTTTTTGAGAAAATTTTTAGTTTGAAAATGGAATGTCCTTGCGTGACACACCGGTACTAATTACACGCACGGTGATATCTGGTTGCTTACCTCTAGAAAGGTGGCAGTAGGCGTGCATTGCAAGGTACGTACCGGGACTACCGTTGTACCACGACAGTACCTGGGACGACGGTCGGTCAGGACTAGATGGCGGATTGCACTCTCAGTATTGTTCGCTAGATGGCGTTAGTGTCGCTTTAGTCCCCTGTTACAGTTAAAAAGCTCTTCTAGCCAAAAGGTTGTGTACTAAAAGTTCTGAATAGATGGAAACTGAAGTGCTAAGATGAGTGCGATGTACCAATGTAAAAATTACGGCGGTATCAAAACTACTAGAGGAGCAATCGACAATTGAATGGTTCCTCTCGCTGCATGCCACGGGTCGCAATTTCATTAGGTACAGCAGACTTGTCCCAATGAGTCGGAGTGACTTCTGCCTGCCATAGTCAGACTTATCCTCCAACCAATTTTTGAATCGAGGTATCTGTCCCTTCGGGTCCTTTGACACCCTTTACAAGTGAAGATCTTCACCCTAGCGTCAAAATATTGTTGAATTTGCATGGGCCGACCGCTAGTCCAGTGGTGGTCCGGCCGAGGTACGGAATGGTAGTACGGGTTTGTACTAGGCCCGTACCACAGATGGATGATGCCGAGGACAGCCAGCAGACTACCCTTTTTGGGCAAACAGTACCTCACCAGTGCTACTAAAGGGGATGATACGATATCTCTGAGGGCACCTCCAATGGAGGTACCGCGTAGTACGAAATGTTGACTGGGATGGCATGTATGCACTAGTTAGTGCATGCCTGGCAGGCATGCGCTAGCTAGAGCGTGCTTGCAGGCATGCTCCAGTTAGAGCATACCATGTGCACTCTTCGATTTGTAGAGCGGCCAGTGAATGCAGTGCCAGCCGCAGGCACTGCCGACGGGATAGCTTAGGCCCTACGCCAGCCTGCTGACAGTGCCTGCGAGCGGCACTGCATTCACCGGCCGAGTTCTAGAGTTGCTCTGGAGTCATCGGGTTTTGACCGCCCACCCAATCCGGAACACTACTCGTCGCTCTGTCTCTCTCGCGCCTCACGGGACGCACCGCGAGCACCGAGGGCACTGCAGGTCGTGTACCTCGGCGGCCCGTGTGCGCGATCAACGAACGCAACGGCACCAAAAACTAGGACACTGCAAGAGGCAAATCAGGGGAAAATAAAAGTGCGCTGGTCGTCGGTTGAATGCCACTTTAGTTCCTGGAGTGCCTTGGCTGGGACGCACGCATGGGGCGGCCGCCGCCATCCTCGCCAGCGG